CACGGATTCCGACCGTGCGCAGCCGGGGGAGCGGAGCGGCGGAGGAAGGAGGGACCGGGAAGGCGGCGGGGAGGGAAGCGGGAGCCCGGCACCGACAGCCGGAGCCTCCGGCACCGCCGCGCCCGGCACGGGCACCGCTCCGCCGCCTCCGCCGTGCCGGGAGCGGCGGCACCGAGCCGCGTTAGCCCGGGCTGGTAAACAAAGGGCCGGAGCCGAGCGCCCGCCGGACGCTCCCGCTCGGGGTCCCGGTGCCCGCGCGGTGCCAGCCCCGCACCGGGAGGGACACGAGGCGGCGGCGGGGGCGGCGGCGAGGGGCGGCTGCGGCGGCCGCAGCCCCGAACACGCACCGCAGTCGCCAGCCCCGCGCTGCTCCGCGGCTGCAGCATCTTCCTGCAGCTGCGCCGCGGCCGGAACACGGCGCTTACATAACGGCTGCGCCCCGAAACGCCGCTGCCCACCGAGCCCCGGCACCCACCGAGCCCCGGCACCCACCGAGCCCCGCCGGTCCCCCAGCCCCGCGGGGACCCTCAGCCCCCCGCTCCCCGGCGCCGCGGGGCTCAGCCCCGGCTCCGTCTTCCTCCCTCTCACCATCACCATCCTCCCTGTTGTTATTATTCCGTTCCAAGCCCGGAGATGCCTTCAGAGGCAGCGCAGCCCCGGGATTCCTCCGCGCTCCAGCCCGCGGAACAAAATGCCGCCCGGCTGCGGCAGCGATCCCACCGCACCGCCACACCGGGTGCTCCCCCGCCGCACCGAATGTCTCCCCGCCACACCGGGATGTCACACGGCCACACCGGGGTGTCCCCCCGCCACACCGGGGTGTCCCAGCACCACACCGGGATGTCCCACGGCCACACCGGGGTGTCCCACGGCCACACCGAGGGGTCACACTGCCACACTGGGATGTCCCACGGCCACACTGGGGTGTCACACCGCCACACCGGGTCGGGTCCGGCTGTCAGAGCCTGTACAGTGACATTCCCGGTGATGAGGGCGCGGGGATGCTCCGCTCGCGGCGCAGCGCGGTGCGGGGATGCTCGTTCCCGGTGCACCGGGAGGGCAGCGGCGCGGGGCTGAGCCGGGCACACGGCGGAGCGCCGGGGGAGGCTCGGGGCGCGGGTCCGCCAGCCCCGGGGCTGCGGCACTTACCGGGGTCGAAGTGGGAGCTGAAGGCGAGGCTGGGGCTGAGGAAGGCGGCCGCCATGGCAGCGGCGGCGGCGGGGAAGCGGCCCATGGCGCGGCGGCGGCGGGAGCCCCACGGCCGCCGGCTGCCGCTGGCCCCGCGCTGGGCACGGCGGCGGCGGCGGCGGCGGCGGCGGCGGCGGCTCCTCCTCCATGGCGGCCCCGCGGCCCCGCGCCCCGTGCCCCGGGGAGGGGCCGCGCCGCCGCCGAGCAGCGGGACCGGGCGGGCGGGGGCGGCAGGTGGCGGAGCCGCAGCCCCGGGACCGCACCGGGATCCGCGTCCTCCCCCCCCCGGGATGAGCCGCCGCCGCCCCCGCGCGGTCCCGCCGGGATGGATGGGGGACCCCCGGACGGGGACGGGACCCTCGAGGGGCAGCGGCCATCCTGGAGCGGGACCGGGACCCCCCGAGCAGGGCTGGGACCACGCAGGGGCTGGTGCCCCCAGAGCGGGGACAGGATCACAGGATCCCCCTGTGATCTGCCCTGGAACTGCCCTGGCACTCACCCATCCCGGGCACCGCCGGCTCCCTGCACCCAGGGATGGGAAACAGGGACAGGATGGGCAGCTCTGCCCCCAGCCATCCCCTCAACCCCCTGCCAGCCCCTCACACACACAATCCACACCCCATCCCTGCCCCTGCAGCCCAGCACAGCCTCACCCTGCAGCCCCCAGTCCCATCCCGAGGGGAGCAGAGCCCCCCAGCAGCCCCAGGCAGGCCCGTGGTGTGGGGTCCCCCTTGGGCTGGGGGGGCTGCCCCGTGTGGGGCCATGGCTCAGCCTCGTCTGCTCGACGCCACAGCCCCAGCACATGGGACTGTGCCCTCCAAACACGGGCTGCTCCAAAACCCAACAGTCCCAATTCCTTGGCAGGGAACATCCCACGGCTTCACCCACACCCCTGGCAGCTCCCAGCCAGACCCTGGCAAAGCTCTGGGTGCCACTGGTCACTGAGAACACCTGGGAACCAGGCTGGACTTTCCCTCAGGGTCATGGCAGGACAGTCCTGTCCCATCCTGTCCCATCCTGTCCCATCCCATTCCTGGAAACCCCCTTGTCCCAGCCCTTGCTGGGCTCAGCTCTGAGCACGGGGCTCACACATCCCCACCGCCAGTTTGAATATTTAAAGCCAAATTTTGCGTACACGATTAATTTTTTACAAGCCTTCAAGCCTGCACAGAACAGCACCACGCTGCACATGTCACGTTGCCACAAATAGATACAGGCCTGGAAAAATTACCGGCTGCTGGGAGAATAAACACGTTGGAGCCAGTTTCTCCCTTCTCCCCTGCCTCCACATTTCTCTGCTCTGGAGCAGCTCTGTCCCACAGGACCCTCCAGTCCCTCTGCCAGGGTTAGCAGGCTGATGCCCCATCACCCATTTTGGAGACCCCCAGTGGGGTGCAGCTCATGGGCACCCCATTACTCTCATTGTCCCCCCCACTGGCTCCCTGGTCCTTTCTGGATGTGCAGATGGCCTTGACCGCACATGTGGGACACCCTGAGCTCCTCCGTGAGCCTTCCTGGGCCTCAGAGCAGCTGAACAAAGGTGGCACTGACCTGGTACAGTCACACTCACCTGGTGCAGAGGCATTTGGAGTCTCTCAGAGCTTTGGTGCCATTGGTGCCCTCTGGACCAGCCATGGTCCCGTGGGAGTGGGTGGCCACTTGCCCCTGGGGTGGTTTTCAGGGCCAGCCCCATTCCCTGTGTGGCTGAGCTGGCACTGGCTGAGTCACAGCCAGGTGGGATGGGAGTGGGCAGCTGTGCTGAGCCCACACCGGGCACCCACACTGGGCACCCACCCACCCACATTGGGCGCCCAGCGGGCCCAGCCACCCCAGCACACTCAGCTGGTCCCAGAGTGGGTAGGACAATGATGAGCTGAGGCCTCCCTGGCACTGGGAACAGGCAGGGGGGCTTTGGTGAGTGGGAGGGGATAAATTCACCCGATGCTGTGTTGGGGGTGGCAGCCCTGGTGCCCGGTGTCCCTTCCCTCCTGTGTCTGGGAGAGGGTGGGATGGGGAGGAAAATGAGGATTTGGGGGATGGAATTGAGGATGAGATGGGAAAGAAGACAAGGACAGAGGTGGACTGGGGATGACACTGGGATAGGGATGGGTGAGAAAGGAGTGTGTGCCTGCCCAGGCCTGTTGTGCCACCCTGCTCTCCTTGGGAAGACCAGGAATCCCCAGCTCAGCTGGGGCACCAAGCACAGCAGCCCCATGCCCCATACCCTCCTTGCCACCCCCACAGCCCCATTTGACACAGTCAGGAGGAGGATTGAGCTCTCATGGCCACCCAAACCCACCACCTGCCCTGTGCCCCCTGCCACTTGTCCTGCCTCCCACCAGATTTCCAACGTGGTTGTAAAAGGGAAAAACCCACAGGAGAACGAGGCCCACAGCCTCAGGGAGCGCCTCAGGTGCAGCCCTGAGAGTCGGGGCTGTGGCAGCGCTGGTCCAGCCCCGGCAGAGGCACAGGGAGGCACCGCTCCCCTGCCATCCCCGCCCGGTCAGGGCAGCGCCGCTGCCGCCGCCCCAATTAGCAGGGGAGATTACAGATCCTTCCCGAGGGGAGATTACCCTGCTCGGATCCTGCCACTCGCTCCGGCTTCCCGGCTGATTTGTCTGGGGCCGCAGCTAATCCCCTCCCGGGCAGACACCAGATTGAGCCGCGATTGCCGCGCTCGGCTGCCAAAAGGCCCCGGCGCTGCTCCTGGGCTCCCTCCCGGCCACCGGGATCCGCTCCCCGCCTGATCCCGGGGCACGGGGGGCTCCTCCTTCGCCGGGGGGCTTTGGCAGAGCCCGCAGCGTGGCTGAGCGGCTCGGCAGGGACAGGGACGGGGACGGGGACAGGGACACGCTGGTGCCACGCGGCCGCCGGTCCCGCGGGAGCCCCGGGGTGCGGGCGGGAGGCACGGGCAGCCAGCCGGTGAAAATCCGCATCCCCGTTATGCAACGGCGCTGATTTATTCATGCCTGAACCGGGCACTGGCCTAGAAATTAGCCCGGGCGATGCCGGGGAGGAGCCGGGAAGGTGCCGGGAGCGGCGGGAGCGGGGCCGGGCACACCCCGGGGACCATGGGTGGGTGTTCACCCCACAGCAGCGATGCCGCACCGGAGCCACAGGGCTGGGCACAGGCACAGGAGCCCCTGGCCGGGCTGTGAGTGGGCTGAGCCCCCTTCTCCCACTGCCGATTCCCGGAGCCGCTGACTCGGGCTGGGCAGGGCCGGGGTCGGAAGCGGCGCTCAGGAAACTCCTTGGAAAAGAAACAAGAGCGGAACAAGCGCCGTGCCCGGCCTTTCCCGGCACACTGGGATGAGCTGTCCAGCCTGGCACAGCGGGGAGAGGGGAACAGAGACCGGCACGGCCACGGCTCCGCTAGGCAGGACCCAGGCTCCCCCTGCGTCCCTGCCCCGGCACACGGAGCAGCCATGGGCAGCAGGACGGATGGGAAACACCAGGGACTGCTGAGAAAACATCTGCCGGCCCGGGGGAGGGACCAGAGCGGCTGCACACCCCGGCCGAGAGGAAACAGATGCCACCGGCCCAGCCCAGGCATTTCCCGTCCCTGTCAGGGGGTGTTGAGGAATCTGCAGGTGGCAGAGGCTGTGGGATCACATCCTGCCCTGGCTCTGCCTCCCTGCATCCTACTGGATATTTCAGTATAGAACAGGACCCAAGGCATAGATTGGGGTGCTGGGCACCCTCAGAGCAAAGGGAGGGATGCAGGAATGGGGTTGGGAAGGTCGGAGTGGACACAGACCTGGTGGAAGAGCCACTCATGCCCTGGCACTGACATGCACAAGTATAGAAACAGCTGTAGAAACCAGCAGAGATTTATTATCAGAACAAAACTCCCAAGCATCTAAAGGCCACCAAGTGTCCCAGCACGGCCAGGGCACTGGGACCAGGCTGTGGAGAAGAGGGGAGGAAGGAGGGGAGGAAGGAGGGGAGGGCCCGAGCCCGGCCCAGCCCCGCTCGCCGCCCGCAGGATGTCGCTGTCACTCGGCTGCCAGCTCCCGCTGCCGCTGCAGCAGCGATTCCAGCAGGCTGGCTCTCTGCACGGCCGCCTGCCACAGGGGACAGCACAGGGCACAGCACGGGGCACAGGGAGCTCGCCGTGCCCGCCCAGCTACAGCCAGGCCAGGGCCAGGGAGCCCTCGCTCACCTCGTACTGCTTCCGCAGGCTGCTCATGCTCTCCTCCTTCCTCAGCACCGCTGCCTTCACCCTGACATGGACATGGGGGGCTGAGCACCCCCGTGCCAAACACGGGGCTGGCCCTGCCCCAAGGGGGATTGCAGCCCTGGGAGCTCAGCCCCTCTCCCCCAGCCACAGCTGGGCTCCAGGTGCCATCACACACAGCAGCACCTTTATTCCATTGGTGGGTGCTGTGTAGTGTGGACTGATTTGTCTACAGGAAGAAAGGCACATTAGCTTCCCAAGATTTAATTATCACAGCATTTTGAGGATGTCCCAGCTGCCCTCAGCCCCTGTGGCTGTGCCCTGACCCTGGGCTCTGCCCCTCTGGAGAAGACCACATGGCTGCAGTCACAGGTATCATGTGTGAGCCACGGAGAGCCCCCAGGAGGTGACAGTGATCCTGGCCAGGGCTCCTGACAGGGAGGAATCCACACAGAGCTGTGCTCCACTGGCCTCTCCTGGCACTCATGTCCTGCATGCAGGCACAGGAGCAGCCCTGGGGACATGATGGCACAGAGCAGGCCAGCAGTGACAAGGGACAGGATTCAGGGGGGCTGAGCAGCAGTCAGTTCAGACAACTGACTTCTGCCTGGTTTGCCTGGACAGGGCCGGAAACTTGGGAAATGTTCCCAAGGATGCAGCACTGAGCTCCTGCACCCCACCTGAGCTCCTCACCTCCTGTGCACCTCCTCCAGCTCCTGGTCCTTCTCCCTCACCAGCCTGTCCAGCTCCAGGTGCTGCCGGGCCCTCAGCTCCGCCATCTCTGCCTTCAGCCGCGCGTTCTCCTCCTCCATCCCCACCAGCCTGTCTGCAAATTCCTGACACATCCCCTCAGTCAGGCCTCCGTGCCCTGGGACAGCTGCTCGCACACCTCCAGGCAGGGCCCTGGCTGTGCTCCTGGCTCACCTTGCGCATCTCCTCCAGCTCCTGCTCCTTGTGCTTCAGCAGCCCCTGCAGCCGGGTGCTCTCCCCCTCCAGCTCGGCCAGCCGCCCCTTGAGCTCGTTGCAGCGCTCCTGCAGCTTCCTCTCCGAGTGCTCCAGCTCCTGCAGCTCCACCTCGTACTTGTCCCGGATCCTCTTGATCCTGTGGGCAGGAAGGACAGGCAGCCTGGCTCATCCTGCTGCTGCCTGGCTCATCCCAGCCCCACTCCTGCTGCAGGAGGGATCAGGACACAGCAGCAAGGGCAGAGCTGCCCCACAAGAGATCTGGGGCTGTTTCCTCAGGTGAGGGGTAAACTTTGCTCTTGTGAGCTGCTCCTTCCTGCACTAACACTGCTCCAGAGCTCACTGGAGAGATGTCCAGGGGACAGGGAAAAGGGACCAGCCTCTGGAGGACCTGGGACCTCCCTCCTCCCTTTCCCCCTCACCTGCTCTCCGCTGCCCTCTCGCACTCCTCCTTGGCCAAGGACGTGTCAGCCTCCAGGCGCTGGATCACCAGCTCGATCTCTTTGTCCCTCTCCTTCCTCATCTCCTCCCGCAGCTCCCGCTCCCGGGACAGCAGCCAGGCTTCCTGCAATGGAGACAGCAAACGTGGCTTCAAATTCCTCTTAGAGCCCATGGGTGGCACCTCTGGAGGACAGTTCTTGTCACTACCTCCTTCTTCATGTAGTTGGCCTCCCAGGCCTGCTTCTCCAGCTCCAGCTGGTCCTTCAGCACCTTCAGTTCTGCCTGTGAGGAGAAGAGAAAACAACAGCTAAGTCCTGGGACCCTCCTGTGCTGGCTGGGAGCAGCTGCTGGGGCTGCCCCTATGGGGTCCAAGGCTTGGTGGTGCCAGCACCCAAAGGGCTGGAGGTGAGGGGAACCAGACCTGGTGCCGCCTCTCCTGCTCCTCCTTCTCCTTGGCGTACTCGTCCCGCAGTGCCCGGGTGAGGGCGGAGCTGTTGGCCTCCAGCTGCCGCCGCAGCTCCTCTGCCTCTGCTCGCTGCCTGCACAGACACAGCTCCCAGCATCCACACCAGCCCCTCTGCCCACAGAAATCTGGCCCAGGGCTGCCCCCAGCCTGCCCACCTGGCTGCCTGCTGGCTCAGCCGCTCCTTCTCCTCGGCCACCTCGGCATAGAGGCGGCGCCGCTGCAGCTCCAGTGCCTGCTCCTCCTGCTCCAGCTGCTGCTCACACCTGTGGGACACACACACACTGCAGGGATGTTCCTTCGAGCACTCGGCCTCTCCATGACGCCAGAGGATGCTCTCAGCTCAGCAGCACCGCCCACCCGAGGCCAGTGGAAAGAAAAGGGCTGCTCCCCGTGGAGCTGCAAACACTGGGGTCCCACAGCAGCCTGGTGCTGGACAGCACCCCAGATGTGAGAGCCCCAAGGCAGTGCTGAGCCCGGGGTGTCTCACCTCTGGCGGGCCCGCTCCCGCTCCCGCTGGTTCTGCTCCTCCTTCTCCCTCTCCAGCAGCCCCCGCAGCTCCTGCGCCTGCCGCCCGTAGCGCAGCGCCGCCCGCTCGTCCGACTGCAGCAGCTCGGCCTCGTGCAGCAGCTTCAGCTGCCGGATGTCCTCACGGTGCTTGGCCAGCAGCTTCTGGATCTCCGGCTCCAGCCCTGGGACAGGGGGAAGAATGGGCACGGCTCAGCCTGGATCCCGCCCGGTACCCTCAGCCAGCTCAAAGGGGCTGCCAGGAATGGGGGATGAGCACAGACGGGGCATCTGCTCCACCAAAACCAGGGAGCAAACACTGCCCACACCAAGCTGCTCTTCCCAATCTCTCCTGCACCACCCCGGCACTGCCCTGGCTCCAGCTGCTGCTGAGAGAACCTGCCCGTACCTTTCACGGTGATTTCTTTGATCTTTTTGGTTTTCTCCTCAATCCACTTCTCCCGCCGGACTTTCTCAGTTGCGCTCATGAGTTCCTTCAGTTTCTTAATCTCCTGTTTGGAAGCAAATGGGAAAACCTCAGAGAAGCTGGGAGAGAAAAGCCCTGGGAGCCAGGCTGTTGGGAAGGAAGCTGTGGAGCTGCACAGCCCTGGCCAGGTGTGTTCTTCCAGCTCAGAGAAGTGGCCACACACTCTCCCAGTGCCTTCTCCTCCATTCCCTTGGGAAAATGCTGACTGCCAAGACATGAGAGCACCAGCGGAGAGGGAAGGGGAACTGGGGGCTGCCGAGGGTCCCTGCATGCAGGGCAGCCCATCTGTCCCTGTGTGATGGTGCTTTCCTCTCCAGCCTTCCCTCTCCTGCCATGGAAAACCCTCTGGCAGGGGCTGGAGTGGGGCCAGAGCAGGCCAGGGCACGAGAGCAGAGGGCAAGGCACAAAAGAGAGCAAAGACCACATTTACCTCACAAAAGGGGCCCAAAGTGCGCCAGACCTGGGGAGAAAGAAAGGAGGGGATGGAGAGAGAAGGGGAATGGTGGGAGAGAGGCAAATCCACAGAGCCGTGTCTGTGGGAGCCACAGGTGGGGCAGAGCTGGGCAGGAGTCCATGGGACAAGGGGAGACAGCACAAGGGACAAGGACAGGGACAAGCCAAGGACTGGCCAGGAGGAGCCTGTGTGCTTGGAGCCTGCTCCAGAGACCAAGGGACCCCCACGGTCTGGCCAGGCATGAGCTCAGCTCCAGAGTCAAGGACAAGCAGGGACTGGCATGGCAGAGCAGGGATGAGCCCAGTGGTGCTGCCCTCCTGCCAGGCCTGGCACAGGGCAAGCTGAGCTGTCTCCATCTGCAGGAGAAGCAAAATTTCTCCATGGCATTGGGTTTGTGCCAGCACTGCACCCTGGGCACCGCCAGCCTGGGACAGCTCTGCCTTCAGCGGGATCGTGGAATCACAGAATGGTTTGGGTTGGAAGGGACCTTAAAGCTCATCCAGTTCCAACCCCTGCCATGGGCAGAGAAACCTTCCACTATCCTAGGCTGCTCCAAGTCCTGTCCAGCCTGGCCTTGGACACTTCCAGGGATGGAGCAACCTGTGCCAGGTGTGTGGGAAGGGCTCTCCAAGCAGAGCCTGGGAGCTTACACTGTCCCTTGGTCAGTGCCATGCTCCTGGCCCTGGGCAGCAGAGGACAGGAGCCTTGTGGGGAGCCAGGACAAAGCTCTGTGGTGACAGGAACCTTCTGTGCATAGGAAAGAGCTCCTTGGAGTGTCCAGGTCCCACCAAGGTGGCAGAGACTGTCCTGCTCCAGGCAGAGGCCCCATTTGAGCAAAACCAGCACACATATGTCCCCCCATCTTCCCTGTCCCCTCACCAACTCGTGCTGCTCCTGCATCTGGTTGATCTTCTGGCCATACTTGTGGTCCACTTGTTTCAGCTCTGCCACCACGGCCTCACACTTCTCACTCAGCACCTTCTTGTCATCGAGGAGCTGGGCAGGGCGAGGAGCCAGCATCAGGCAGGTGCAGCCACCTCAGCCTCTGCCTTCAGGAGCTGGGATGAGGGTTACCTGGTCAATGAAGGCCAGGTGCCTCTGGATAGCTGCCTCATACTGCTCCCTCTGCAGCCTGAGCTGCTGGCTGAGCTCCTTCTCGGTCTGTTTGACGTGGCGGTCGGTCAGCTCCCGCTGCTGGGTCTGTGGGGTCAAACAGGTCAGACACCACATGAAAATCACCATCAGGCCAGGAAAATGAGGGACAGGGCTAAAGCAAAGCCCTGGTGCTCATATCTCCCACCCCTGTCAGCAGGAACACCCAGCACCCCAGGACAGAGAAGGGAGCTCAGCCCAGGTCCCAGCCAGATGATCTTTAAGGTCTCCTCCAACCCAAACAATCCCATGATTCTGTAAAATCAAGAACAGAAGAACCCCAAGAACCACGTGTGAGGCTGACACACCAGAGCAGTCTGCAGCAGGCTGATGGCTCTCTTCTTCTCCTCCACTTCCAGCTTCAGCCTCATCATGGAGCTTGTCACTTCCGTGGCAACCGCTGACACCTGCTCCACGTGAGCCAGCTCCTCTTCCAACAGGAAGCTCTGCCACAGCAGAGAAAATAATGATGAGAAGGTGGTGGAACCACCTGGAATGAGGACAGGGAGATGGGGGATGATTCCCATCAGGAATGGATTCCCACACCATGGATGGACTCACCTCCCGCTGCGTGGCTGAGGCAGCTGACCTGGGCCTCTCCTGCTCTGACTTCTCCATCTCATCCAGGAAACTGATGATGCTTTGGAGCTTGGCCTCTGAGAGCAGAGCCCCGTCCTCAGGGACCCCTGGAGGGTGGTTCAGCTTCCCAAACTTCTCCAAGTTATCAGCAGTCAGGGAGTTGGAGCTGGGCTCCTGCTGGGAATTCACCGTGGTGAATGAGCACCATGGGGAAGGTTTGGGAGAAGAGGTGCTGGCTTGTCTCCATCACTGGAGCCCAGTAACCAGCCTGATCCCTCTGGGCTAAACCCTGTCCCACCACCAGCCTTTGCATGGCTTGCTGTTCCTTGCAAACATCCAAGCCCTCAATGCACCAAACAATCCCTCTAGCACCTCCACACTCCTCCATCTCCTCCTCCAAATTCCTCCATCACCCACTCCAAGCTCCTCCACCACCTTCCCTGGCAGTGCCTGGCTGTTTCTCATCAGGCAGCCAGCACTGCCCAAGGATGGGCACAGCAGCCTCATCCCCCAGCTCACCCTGTCCATCCAGGCATATCTGTCCTTCCTGAGGAGCTTGGGAGGGGGCAGCAGCTCTGGCTCCTCCTCCAGCAGCCGGAGCGTGTCCAGCAGCTCGTTGAGTGTGACCTTGGATGGAGCCCTGCTGCCAGCAGCCACTGCTGTCTCCAAGTCCTCATTACCCGTCTCCCTGGAGCTCACATCCTAAGGGAGAAGATGAGAGAGTTTTCTGCTCTCCCCAGAAGCCAGCAAAGGCCTGATGTTGCCCTGGCACAGCAGCTGCTGCCAGGGTCCCCAGGAGGCACAGCCAGACCCACCTGCAGTTTGTCCTCTGCCCTGGGGTCCTGCAAGGGCACGGAGCCAAGAGCTCCCAGGCTGCTTCCTTCCAGCTCCGAGGCTGCTGAGGGGGAATTGGCCTCTGCAGGAACCAGGCTGCTCTCAGGTACTGGCCCCAGGCAGCCCCTGGGAAGCAGCTCCTCAGAGCAAACCCCTCATTCCCAAAGCTTTGGGGACACTCCACAGGGACTCACCGGTGTTGTTGGCTTTGGTGAGGCTGCTGGCTGGGCTGGCATTCCTGGCTGAGGCAGGTTTAGCACCAGGCTTCTTCTTGGGCACCCTCCTGCTCTCCTTCACCAGTACCTGCTCCTCTGCCGAGCGCTTCGTCTCCGAGGCCTTCTGGGCCCTTTTCTGCTGCAGCTCCTGCGGGGACAGAGGAGCCATGGATGTCCTGAAGCCTTGGGAAGGCACAAGCCTGTGTTTGCAAGGCTGTAGCAGGGTTTTTGTATCCTCCAGCTGCTCACTGATGTGTCTCCCCCAACCCCCTCCCCTGACGGAACACGTTTCCAATTAGGGCAAAGAAAATTTGGGGTTTAAAACATCCCCAGGTTTGCTGCCAACTCCTGCAGCCTGTGCCAACCCCATCTGCACCACCAGCTGCAAGAGCAGGGTGACAATGACGTGTTGCTTCCTGCCAAGGGACATGGAGTGGTACTCAGCCCTCCCAGAGGGACCCTGCTCCTGAGGAGGGTCCCAGGGCACACACATCCTCAGCCATTCCATGGAGCCTGGAGTGTCCCTGTCTCAACGTGGTCACCATTTTCCTAAGAACCACACAGAAAGCAGCACTGTCTTCCCAAGCTCAGAATGAGCTGCCAAGGCTTGGCAGGAGCACAGCAGGAAACTGCTCCATGGCACCTCCATCTCCGGAGGGAGCACTCCACTCCCAAGGCTGGCTCTGCTCCTGCCCCATGCCAAGGCTCTGGAGATGCAGAGAGGCCTCTGGCTGCCTCGCTGGATGATGCCAGCAAAGGGTGTCACACAGGGCTGGCCCTGGCCCTACCTGGATGGCAGCGTGCCGGGCCAGGCGCGCCTTCTCCTCTCGGATCTTCCGGCGCTCCTCCTCCTTCCTCTCCTGCAAATCCAGGATATTCCCCTCCTCCATCCGCTGCTGCCTTTCCTTCCAGAGAGAAGGGTCAAAAATGTTACTGAGAGTTCTCCAGCACCCGCCACTGAGAAGTGTGAGGGGCACCCACACCTGGGTGCCCCCACATCCAGGCCTTCCATCCTCTCCTCAGCAGTGTGCCTGGAGCTCTGGGCTTTGTGGTTTTCAAATCCCTAACCCCAGGTGTAACCCTAACCCTAACCCTAACCCTAGGCAGCAAATGCAGACTAGGGCTCAGGCTGTTTGCAAGGAAAAAGCTGTGGAGGAAGGCATGTTGGGGCAGCTTTGTGCTCCCCTTGGCATGCCTCGTGCCTGGAGCTCTGGGCTTTGTGGTTTTTCCATCCTCTCCTCCCTCAGCACAGCTCCACTTTGGAGCAGCTCATTTTCTTCAGATCCTCAATGCAATTATTAATATTATTATTACTATTATTATTATTATATCATCATGTGGGTCTGCCACCACCAAGGAGACAAGGCTTAAAAATAGATTCACACGCAAGAGCAACAGAGCTTTTCATTACTGGGATAAATAATTGAACACAAGGAAACACAAATAGCCGTGAAACCTCGTCACTCTCACAGGCAGCTCCTTAGGGATTCATTAAGATGAGCTGAGATGGGGCATCCCTTCTCTGGCCACCAGTGTGGCCCAGACAGTGCCAATTCAGGGAGACTTGTGCTGCTACTGCCAGGATCTAATGCTCCCAGTCACAGGGCTGGGGGACCTGGAGCCGTGTGGTGCTGAGCCTCAGCTCCTGCTAGAATCCAGCCCAGGCTAATCCCTGGACACAGCCAGCACAGCTCTGAGGGAACAGGACCCTCCCCAGCTCTCTGGACCATGGAGGGGCTGGTTGGATGCAAAGCCAGAGCCCCCTCGACTCTCACAGCCCAGGTCTGGGGATTAAAGGGACCCCAAGTCAGTGGCCAGTGGGCCATGGGTGTTGGGTGGTCTGGGCTACAGAGCAGGGGACAGGACCAACCTCCCTCTTGGCAGCCATCAGGCGTCCCAGAGCCGCAGCCGCCGTCCTGTGCCGCTGTGAGTGGCGCCGGTACCAGCGCTGGATGGTGACAGCAGCCATGTTCACCTGCTGGATGAACCTGTGGGGACAGCCAGGGAGGGTCAGCACAGCCCCAGGTGTGGCAGAGCACAGCACTGGCACCTGCAGGTGCACTAAGAGTGGCCTTTCCCCAGTGTGAAATGCCACAGGAGAAGAACGAGCTCCCCTGGAGCTCCTCACAGCTCCTGGCACCGTCCTCCTGCTCCTTCCCTCACCTCTCAGCCTCCTCCTCGGTCACCTCCCTCCTCCGGGGAACACTGCTGCTGCTGCTGCTGTTGTTGTTGTTGTGGGTCATGATGTTATTGCTGGAGAAATTCTTCTGAGACTTCACGAGGCTGCTGCTGCCTTCCCCATCCTCGTTCGAGGCCGCTTTGACAACATTGCTGGGACAGAAGATGAAGCCACTCAGCCCCGTCCTGTGCCACACATAGCCCCAGGGCCAGCCCAGCTGCAGAGCCAGGACACCCCCCACACTCACTTGAGGGAACTGGGAGCCTGGTTGGAACTCTTGGGAGCAGGGCCCTTCTCAGCAGTGGAGTAGTTGTTGTGCACCATGGTGGTGACGCAGTTGCCCATTGCGCCCTTGTTGCTCCTTGTGTGGGGAGACCAGGAGTGTCAGAAACAGCAGCTTCCCCTCTCCAGGTGTTCTCTCCATGCAGTTGCACCCACTCTCCCCCTCAGGACCCTCTGTCCTACCTGTTGTTAGCAGTGAAGTTGGCAGCCAGGAGCACTGTGGCTTCCTTCCTCCTCATGCCCGTGGGTGGCTCGAGGCTGTGGGAGCCAGAGGGGCCTGGGAACACTCGGGGCTGGTCATCCTGCCATGGAGTCAGCAGGCATAAGGACACCAAACCCACCTCCTCAAACACCACCAGGAGCACAGAGCCAGCCTGGCCCACCCACTCCCAGAGCCTGCCATCCTCACCAAGATATTCCATGTGGTTTTCTTTTCTGGGGAGGTTTTGCTCAGAGCTGCCAGTTTCTTCCTTCCTATTGGGTCACCCTCAAAGAAGGCCAGGAAGTCTCCTGTCTGCTCCGAGCTTCATCCACACCCAGGGAAGGCAGGGAGGAGAGAACAGAGGTAACTGTGGGACAACTCTCAGCCACAGGAGACACTCTGGTTATGTAGAGCACTTGGAAACTCCAGTATGACATGGGAGAAAGGGGCTGGAGAATCGTTACATGGCCACAAAATCCACCAATGATTCCTTTTTACACAGAGCTTTGGGTTCCAGGGTGGTGTGTGGTGATAGGGATGGCACACACCAACAGGAGAATGGAAAATCCCAACTCAGAGGGCACTGGGAACAGAGAACTTTTGTCTCCTCACACAGCCCAGTTATGGCCTGGAAGGTTCATGAGGGCTGTTGGAATCAAATGGAATGGTTTTTGTCACAGCTACAGACATACACTCTGTTTCCCCAAATAGAAATTCTTCCCTGTGATGGTGGAGAGGCCTTGGCACAGGTTGCCCACAGAACCTGGGCAATACTCTGACAGAGAAGTGTCCCAGGCCAGACTGAATGGGGCCTGGAGCAACCTGGTCCTGTGGAAGGTGATCCTGCATGGGACTTTAAGGTCAGGCCATTCTGTGATCCTAGGGAACCCTAAACAAGGAACCTCCTCTTCAAAAAAATAACCAAAGCGCCAGACGTGAACTCCTGAAGTGCACGACAGAGCTCAGGGTATTTTGGAAAGGCTCCTGTTCCCCCCCAGGACCAGGACCAGGACCAGGGAGGTTGGACACAGGGGTGGGGTGTCCCCCAGTGCCACCCAGAGGACAGAGGGACACATGGGGCTGTACCTGTGTGAGCTGTTCACCCGCTGGTTCACCTGGGTGGTGCTGTTGGACCTGCGCAGGTTGTTCATGGCCCGGGATCCTGCATCTTCCTGTGGAGAGCAGGGACAAATCCAGCAGGGACAAACCCAGCAGCCACGTTCAGGAGCAGCACAGACAGGCTCCCCACCCTCTCTGCCAGGGGGACAAGGAGTTCCCAGTCCCCCAGGGCTGCCAGGCTCCCCTTGAGGCAGTGGGCAATGCCACCTCTCTCGGGCACTGCTGAGCCAGCAGGAACACGTTCCTCAGCACAAGCTCCTGGGAGCAAGGGTGTGGGAATGCTGCCAAGGGATTACTCAGCACAGAGCTCAGGCTGGATCCTGCTGCTGGGTCCTGACAGAGCCCAGCAAGCACCTGGGGCCCGCTCCCTCTGTGGAACTCAGGAGCCCCTGGTGTGGCAGGAACAGGGGGTGCTCCATGAGGGGCAGGCTGGGCCTGACACCCCAGCAGGAGACACTGGGAAATTGGGAGTTTGCAGATGGAAATTGGCACAGGGGGCTGAAGGGCGAGGAAGGGAAAAGAGGGGAACTTGAAACTTGCTCTTCTGCACCCAGCAGGGAGCCATGAGCAGCAATTGCCAAGGGCAGGACCAGAACAAAGCCAGGCTGGTGCTGGGGGAACCACGGTGAGAGGGACATGGCCATGCCTGGAGCCATCAGGAGGGGCAGGACAGGGGCTCATGGCCATGCCTGGAGCCATCAGGAGGGGCAGGGCAGGGGCTCACCGGGGCGTTCCTCTTGGCTTTGCCATCAGCAGCCACGGACACAGACCGTGCCATGAGCTTGGCAGGGGAGGCGCTGCCGGGGCGCCGCGACACCGGCGCCGGGAGCCCCGTCAGGATCAGCTCTGCCACGTCAGAGCTCTGGACGGAGCAGCAGCTCCGGGTGCTCTTCATGCTGGAGCAGCAGGAAGGAGCCCTGGAAGCACAGCAGAGCACAGAGAGAGGGGAAGGCATGGAGCAGCCAGCCTGGAAGCAGGTGATCCAGCAAACACCGGCACTCAGAGCTGGAACTGCTCCCCAGCAGGACAAAACCTCCAAATTGCCACATGGCAAATAACCCATAGCACAGCCCTGGAGAGGCTCCAGGAGAGCTCCTCACTGCTTTCACCCAGCCCTATGGCTGCTGTCACATTTATGGGCCAGGATTCCAGCCAAGGACTAAAGGGAGGGAAAAGCCCTGCTCCCCATCCCAGGCTGCTTCACTGCACACAGCCACGGCTGCCAGAGGATCACAGGGGCCCACAAGGGCCCCATCTGTGCAGGCTGCAGGTCCAGCTCACCCCATACCCCACATGGGATGCTGAAGAACCCCCTGAGCAGCTCCCAAGGGAGGCTCCCCCTGCCAAGAGTTCCTTCAGAAGTGTTTGTGCCCTCTAAGGGGACACAGGAAGATCTGGGCTCCCTCTCAGCTCGGGGCAGCACATTCCCACCTTTTCCCCTCTGCATCCTCCCAGCCCCAGTGCTGATCCAGGAAAAGACCAGACTACTTTATCTCTTTACATTTATTACCCGCACTGTCCCTAAACCCTCTCCCTTGGCAGCCCTGGCCTTTCCTCTCAGGGCTCCACCACAGCCCTTGGCAGTGCCTCGGGCTCCACAGCCTGGGAAAACAAATGGCTCTCATGGAAACCGCAGGGCTCAGGCAGGAAAACAGGCTCAGGAGCCCAGGCCAGCACAGCCCCCTGAGCCCCCAGCCCCCCAACCTCAGACTCCACAGCCCCCAAGCCCCCCAGCCCCCTTATGACCCAGAGGCAAGCCCTGAAGCTCCCAAATCCCTGAGCCCCTTAGGATCACCCAGGTCCCACACTTTCCTCTAAGCTCCCAAAACCCAGACTCCCCAAATTCCCCACTCCCAGGGTGCAGGAACCCAGCCACAGGTCCAAGCCAAAGCTCCCAGCTCCTGGATGCCCCCAGGAACTCCCAGGACACCCAAGCCCGGGTCCCCAGCCCCCCAAAGTCCCAGACCCCCACCAAGAGCCGCAGGACCCCGAACCCCAAACCGTCCTGGATGGCCCCCATTGCCCAGACCCCTCCCCAGAACACCCAGCAAACCCAGCCCCACGCCCCCCACGAGCCCAGCCCACATCCCCAGGCCCTCATGACCCAGATCCCTCCAGGCCCCCCCAAATTCCCAATCCCCGCAGACCCCCGGCCCAGACCCCGAGCCCTCCAACCCCTCCCAAACCCCAAACCCCCAGCCCCCGACCCCTCACCACCACGGAAATGGGCCCCACGCACCCACATGCAGGTGAGACCCCCGCGGCCCGGGGGCGATGCCGAGAGCGGGGCCCGGGCCCTGCCCCGCTGCCCCTGGAGCTCCCTTGGCGCCCCTGGACCCCCCTCAGCCGCCATTAAACGCCCCCATCCCCTCACCTACGGCCGCGCTCCGGACACAGCCATTGGGCGGGGCTGCCGGCCAGCAGCCAATGGGAAGGGAGGAGAGGGCGGATGAAGAGACGCGATTGGCTAAGTTGGAGGGAGGGGGCGGGAATAAGGAGGGATGGATGGGGAGGCGTGGCTGTGTCGGGGGCGGGACTTAGCGGGAATTAACCAATGAGACGAGAGAATTGACGTGGGCGCGGCTTTGAGGGCGGGGAAAGGGGCAGGGCTTAACCCACGTGGGCGGGGCCCCCATGGGGTTTTTTGGGGAAAAATGGGGATTTTTGGGGGGAAAATCGGGATTTTGGGGACCTGAGAGGGGGACTGGGGCTACAGGGGCGCTGTGAGGAATATGGGGGAGTCATAGTGCTATGGGGGGCGGGTTATTGTTATTGATACTAAGAAATACAGAGGAAGGTTAATTGAAAGTGTATCTATGATAAGTGATTTGGATAATGTAGGGATATATGGCTTAATTATTTAATAAAAAAAATGTAAAATATCAAGATAAAAAGAAACCAGTGCCAGGTTGGGGGGGGTACTATGGGGCAGGGGGGCTCATGGGATTATTGGGGGCCATGGTAAAAAGTGGGGTTATTAGGGGAGGAAGGGGGGGAACCATGGGGCTGCTAGGGGGGCTGTAAGCATGGGGGAGAGCAGAGCAGCAGAGGGAAGCTGTGGGGATGCTGGGGGGCCATGGGGCTGTAGGAAAATGTGGGGCTGAGGGCCAGGAGGAGTCACGGGCCAGGCTCCGTCAGTGGCGCAGGAAGAAGTCACACATTCCCAGGCCCGAGTGTGGTTTATTGGTGGGTCCCAGCCCCATGGGGATGGCACCTGCCCCCACCTCACCCCCACAGAGCCCAGCCTGCAGCTGGGGACCATCCAAGCGCACCCGTGGCCATGCTGGGGTCCCCAAAGCACCCCCAGCTCAGTGCCAGCGTGTCCCACACCCCTGTCCAGCTCCAAGGGGCCGTGCCCCTCTGCCTGTCCTGGAACACCACGAGGGACATTGTCACCTTGTCACCTGATGGAAGCCCTGTGGCCATCTCAGCCCATGTCCCCCGAGGCACCAGGACAGCGCAGGCCCCGCAGGGAGGGGGGCAGAGCCCCCGCAGCCCCCGGGGCCCCACAGCAGCTACATGTTGAGGAAGGCAAAGGCTGATGGCTGCAGGGTGCTGTCCGTGTCCGTCCCCCGGTCCGTGTCCCCGTCCTGGGGCTGGGATGGTGTCCCTGGCTCCACTGGTGGCGAGTGTGGCCGGAGCACCGTGCTGGGACGGGCCACCAGCTCCATGCCAGCAAACAGGGACAGGCTGGGGGCCGCCGTGTCCCCTGCCAGCCTGCTGCCCCCGTCCTGATGGCAGGGACAGGCTGGCACCGCGGCCCCAGGGGGCTCTGATGCCAGCCCTGGCTCCTCAGCAGGGGCTGCAGGGGGCACAGGGCTCGGGGCTGGGCTCAGGGGGGTCAGGAAGCTCTCAGAAGCCACGGCTGGGATGTCCATGAGCAGGTCCCCGGCTGAGGGGGCTGAGGGTGGGCGTGGGGCCCTCGGGGAGGGCTGGGCCCGGCACAGGGCCTCGAACTGTCGCAGCATCTGGGACAGGGGTGGGCACAGTGAGAGCAGCATCAGCAAAGGGGATCAGCCTGACACCTTCTCCCAGCCACAGGGACTGTCCCCCTGTCCCCTCTTGGGGAGCAGAGGGAGCATCACCCAGCCCTGGGAAAGGCAGCTAAACCACCCCTCTGGCACATACACAGAGCCATTCCCAAGGGCTGTGTGTCCCCAGGGGCTGTCAGACCTGTGCCAAGAGCTCCCACCCAAGGGACTGGGCACAGGGATGTCCCCAGAGTCACCTTTGTTGCTCGGTTGGCCACAGGCCCAGGGCTGCCTTGGCTGAGGTGCTGCAGGCGCTGCTGGGTCACAGCAAAAATCTGCTCTGGGGACAGCAGGTCGGAGCAGCCGAGGGCAGAGATGGCACACATGGACCTCTGTGGGGAAGGGGAGCTGAGCCTGGCGGTCCCCCAGACACCCCCCAGCCCTCCAAGGGGAGCCCCCTGTGCTCACCATGCGGACGCTGTCACTGGGATCCTCCAGTGCCCGGCCCAGTAGCTCCAGCACCACCTCACAGTTCAGGAGCCCACACCTGCCCAGGGATGAGGGCCACAGTCACCTGCAGCCCCTTCCCAACCCAGAGTCCAGGCCTGGGCAGCCAGGGAAGGGAGCTGAAGTCCCCCCAGCCCCAGGGAGCACCCGCCTCTGCCACTTACTCCTTGAGGAAGTGCTGAGCTTCCTCCCTGGTGAGGAAGACCCTGGCCCCGCGTGTCAGTCCCGACACCAGGCTCAGCTCCCTCCGGCAGTCACCCGGGCTGTCAGCATCCACCCTGCTGGGGACACAGCTTGTGAGGACAGGGGCCACCTGCCTGCTCCTCCTGGGGTCCCTGCACAGACCCTGGCACGCAGGGACCCCCACCCCGAGCAGCTCTGCCCACCCACAGCTGGCAGGACAAACATGCCAGGCTGAACACAGCCAGCAGAGCCGGGGCACTCTGGATCAGGGCTGTGGAAAAGGAGGGGAGGGTCCCTGGGGATGCAGCTGGGACAGCCCCAGGGCAGGGCAGCCCCCTGCCCCTCTCACCTGTCAGCCCCATGGCTCAGCTCCCGGCTGGCCCCGGAGCGGCTGTCGCTGCCGGATTTGCTGCCCGAGTCGGAGGCGCGGCTGCGCTCGTGGCCCTGCGAGGATTCCCGGGAGCTGTGCCCGCTCTCTGCCTCCTCCCAGCCACCCCCGGCCTGCCCCGGCTGGTGGCTCACTGCAGGGACAGCGCTGCTCAGCTGGGGTCCCCAAACCCCGCAGAACATCTGGGGACCCCCCAGACTCCCCCAGAGGACCCACCTCGGGACGCGCGCGGTGCAGGAGGGGTCGGGGGCGGCGGGGCCGGGCTGCTGGCAGGGGATGGAGCTCGGACGGGCTCGTAGGTGTCCTCGGGGAGGTCCCCACGGGGTCGCCGGGGTCCCCCCGGAGCCGGGAGCACGGCCTGGGCCACAGCCTCGGCTGCCCGCTGGAGGCTGCTCAGCAGGGCCTCTCCTGTGGAAGCTGCAGAGGCTGGGATGCTGGGGGAGCCCAGCCCCATGGGATCACCCCAGCACCCAGCTCCAGCCTGGGAAAGGGGCGTGAGGAAACTCTGGGAGCTCAGAGAACACAGAGTGACCCTCATGGCCCTACCCCAGTTCCCAGCGGGAAAGGACCCAGCGAGGGCCCAGCCAGGACTCACCAGAGCCACTCTTGTCACTGCTGAAGCCGAATCCCTGCAGGGAGCCACAGGGGCTGGGGCTGGAGCCCATCCCTGGGGAGGCACAGGGAATGTCAGGGGGGGCACAGGCACTCAGAGCTCCCCTCTCCTGCTGTGTCCCTGTCCCCCTGAGCGAGGGCCTGGCCCAGGGGGCTGTGCTCACCGGCAGGGGCCGGGGGCCGGGCGGGCAGAGCCAGGGGCTGTGGCAGTGGGGCATCCGAGAACAGAATGCTGGCCAGGTCCTGTGGGATTGGGAGACAAAGAGAGAGAGAGAGAGGAGTGCTGGCAGTGCTGGGAACCCCAGGGTTCCCAAGCAAGGAGCTGCCCTGCCCCTGCAGCACCCACCTGTGCGGCCGCCCGCACCTTCTGGTTCAAGCTGTTGCCGTGGAGGGGGTCTGGGGGCCCGGAGAACACTGCAGACACACAGAGGGGAGGGTGGGGGACGCTCCCAGGTGGGGTAGGACCCTGCTCCTGGCACAGCAGGAGCCCTTCCAGGGTCTCAGCCCCCCATTGCTGCTCTGCTCTGTCCCCCCCAGGCCGTTACCCGCAGCCTCCCGGATGAAGCTGGCGTTCCTCTTCAGCTGCAGCACAAACTGGGGCGAGCCCTGCGAGCAGGTGTGCAGCAGGATCTTCAGCACCTGCCTCGGGGGACAAGGACAAGTCACAGCTGCCCTCCCTTGAGCGGGGGGGGGTCCATCCCATCACCCCCAGTGCCCCCAGCACGGACCCACCTTCAACTTGACGTGGCAGGAGCTGCTCTGCAGCCGTGTGAGCAGATGCTCCAGCAGGCACTGGCTGCTCCCGGGGGACTCGTGGGAGATCTCTAGGGACGGGTTATGGATCCAGCCGGGACCGGAGGGCAGCAGCAGCCCCCGAGTGCCAGGAATTCAGCTCCCCCCCACAGGGTCCCAGCCAGGGCCCACAGCCCCACGGCTGCCCCCAGCCAGCCCCGCAGGCCTCCAAAGCCCACCACAGCCTGGAGCAGGCCCGGGGAGCTCCCCCTGCCCCGGGATCCCCCCAGCCCGGTGCCCCCCGGCTCCCCGAAGGATACTGGCGATCTCTTCGAACAGGTACCCGGGGCACGGGGTATCGTCGTCGGCCGTGCCCCGCAGCAACACCGGCAGCTAGAGGAGGAGAGGCGGCGTGAGAGGAGGCGGACTCGCCCCGTTCCCCGGTGCTGGGCACTGGACCGAGGCCCCGGGGTGGGCCCGACCCGGTCAGGGCGGAGTGAGGCCGCTGAAGAAGCGAGTGGGGGGGGTGCAGCGATGACGTGGCGGGTGAGCAGTGACGTCACGCCCCGGCAGCCCCCCCGCACCCCCAAAAGCCCCGGTCCGTACCCGGCTCAGGAAACTCAGCCGGTCCCGCAGCGGCGCCGCCATGACACTGCCGGCACCGGCCCTGCCCGGTCCCTCGGCGGCGTCAGGGAACCGCCTCCCGAAAGTTGCTTTTCACCAATGAGAGGGCAAAGCTCTGCCGCTCAACCAATCATCGGTGAGATAGGGCGGGGCTCTAGGCGGAAGAACCTCATGATGTTGACGCCTGAAGGAGGCGGGAAGTAAACAACCGGCATTTCCACCAATCAGAGCTGCCCGCGCCGACTGACCAAACAAAGGAGAGCGCGGGGTGTGACGAGCGGGGCCGGCGGCCAATCGCGGCCGCCCGGCCATGGCGGCGCCCGTGCCCGTGCGGTGAGGCGATGTCGGGGCGCGGAGTGTGGCTGCGGACGCGGGCGCGGCTGCGGCGCTTCCCGGCGGCGCTGGCGGCCTGCGGGGACCAGGTGGGGCGGGTGGGGGCGCACCGGGGGCGGCTCCGGGGCCGGGCACGGGGAGCGGCTCCGGGGCCGGGGGTGGCACACGGGGGTGGCTCCGGGCCCGGCGGTTCCGGTGGCCCCCGCTCCCGTCCCGTGTGATTCCCGCAGGCCGCGGCCTACGGGCGGTGCGTGGCGGCGGCGGCGGCGGGACCGGCGGAGCTGCGGCGGGACGCGTGCTTGGAGGAGTTCCAGGCGCTGCGGGAGTGCTTCGCCCGCGCGGTACGGACCTGTCCCGGTCCCCGTCCCCGGTGCTGGCGGAGGGCGGCGGTCTCGGCCCGTCCTGACCGCGGCTCTTTGCAGGCAAAGGCGACGCCCAAGTGACCCTGGAGCCGCTCGTGGGGAATGAGACCCTCAAACCACCAGTTTGTCCTCAAATGACGGAGGCGCCCCCGGTCCTGGAGCTGCCCTCCCGCTCCCCAGCCCGGAGGAGGGGCAGTCCCGGGCTGGGTGAAGGTCACAGATCTATTTTTATTTATTAAAAGAAGAATTCAGATCAGAATGCTTCAGCTTATTTTATTGATGGGCTCAGCCCGCACTCCGGGCTCTCCGTGCCAGCGTCCCACCCTCCCCGGGGGAGCCGATCCCGGCGGGACGGGGCAGCTCCAGCCCAGCTCGGGGTGCCCACGGCATTCCCAGGAGCAGGAATGTCAGGAGCATCTTTGGTCCCTTCTGTTCACACAGAGAACAACAAACAGGCGGCTGTGCCCCCGCGGGGCCGGAGCCGGCAGCACAGGGCACAAGGAGCCGACCCGGCTCCCTGGCATCGCAGGAAGGCTGGATGTGCCACAGCCCGGATCCCTGGCCCCGGGGCAGCCCTGGAGCTCCAGAGCCCGTCCCCGCCTCCCGGCCGTGCTGCTTGTGCTTGACGACAGCGTTAATGGAGAAGCTCGTTGGGTTTGGGGGTTTAAGGCCACAGTGTTCCGGGGGGTCTTCCCAAAGGACTCCCCAGGTGGCTTCCCTGTCACTCTGGGCTGTGACACCCCGGGAGCACCAGGCAGGGACAGTCCCACCCCGTCCCAGCTCTGCAGGGTCCCACTGGACACAGACTCGAGGTCGCCAAGGACATTTGGAGGTCGGGATATAAAAGCCACCACAGTGATGAGGTCTGAGGGCTCCAGGCTGGGAATTCTCAGCCGGTCTAGGGAGAGCTTTGGGACTGAATTCTGTACATTCGCAGGTCGGGATGTAAAAACACAAAACCCAAAAAAACCCAAGGGATGAATCATTGGGAGCCTGAAACAACAGAGAGCTCTTGGGGAAGCTCCTCCCTTCTTCACTCACCAAACAAATTCCCAGAGGTGGAGCAGGGACCTGTCTGGATGCAGAACAGGGCGGGGGGAGGCTGGGAAGAGCACAAGGAACACAGGCAGAGGCAGGTGGAGCCCCTGGATCCACCTGGCCCTGCCATGCTTTCTCCCAAACCACTCACCTCTGGCAGGAGAATCAAGCTGGGTTGGGAAGGGTCGGGGGGAACTTGAGCTTCTTAATGCACTTTTGAGAGGGGAAGTGGAGCTGGAGAGCACAGAGAGGAGGAGCACCAGGGAGGGCAGCGGGGGCAGAGCTCTGTGTGGTCCCAGTATGTGGCCAAGGAACCCCATCCCTGGGAGAGAGGCAGCACAACAGGAGTTGTGCCCAGTTAAGGCAGCGTTTCTACTAAATGAGGTTCCTAAACCACCACTGTGGCCCAGACAAATGAGGCTCTGCTCCCGATCCAGCACTGGAGCACTGGCTCTGCTGGTCCTCAGCTCAAGGCTTCTCTGGGGTAAAGCCCTTCCCGAGGTGTGGATGGATCCCAGGTCCCCCCGGCACAGCCGGGGCCATGGAGCCCCTTCCTGCTTCTGAGAGGAGCTGGGAGATGGTTGGAGAAGGCAATTTGATGTGAATGAGATGCTGGAAAAGCTCCTTGGAGCAGCGGCCTGGCAGGGAGCCGAGGTGCATGGCAGCTCTGGAAGGCAGGGGACAGCAGGAATGTCACTTCCAGTGCCACCATCTCCTTGGCCACCCGCAGGCACACACTGGGGGCGCTGCTGGAAGCCCCCAGGGTGGTGCTCAGGGATCCAAGGAGATCCTGTGGATCCGAGCACTGCATCCAGCAAAGCGCTGCTGGCTCAGATCTCTCCACGCCCGGTGAGGCCGAGCCTTCCCTGTGGAGCAGGGGCACAGCCCTGTCACGGGCTCCTGTCCTGTGTCACCTGCTGGATGTGGCGGCTGCGCACCAGGTGCTGCGCGCCCTCGGCCACCTGGCTCAGCCGCGCCTCCAGCGCGCTCCGCAGGTCGTTCACCTTCACGTCGGGGAGGGGGTTCAGGCCGATCAGGACCCCCCCTGCTCCTGCTGCAGCCTCCTCCCCGTCCTCCTCCTCATCCTCCTCCTGGTCGGGAGGCAGCAGGTCCAGGTCCCGTCTCCTGCGCCGCAGGTCCAGGCCCCCCTGCAGCTTCAGCTCCCGGTTGGGTTTGACGTCGCGCTCCGGCTGCTGCGGATCCCTGGGGGCGGCTGCTCCGTCCTCAGATTTCCCTGCTGGAGCATCCTGAGGGGCACCGTTGGAGGGACCCCCACCCCCCCGGCCCTGCCGGCCCCCCGGCTCCTCCCCGGGATCCTCCTCCTTCCCGTGCCCGTGGCTGGGCGGGTCCCGCTGCCGCCCGCCCGCTCCCTCGGCCTGCGCTCCTCTCTGCCACTCCCTGTCCCGGGGGTGCTGCTCCCTCACTGCCACATTCCTGTTACTGGAAGAGTCCGGCACCACTGCCAGCTCCTTGGGCTCCACCTGACTCAGAGTTTTGGCTTTAAGGTCTGTTCCTGAGTCTCTTTCCAAACCCTTTCCTGCTACTCCCTGAACTTTGGCAGCCCCCGGCTGTTCTCTTTGGATGGGAGCTGTAGCTGCTTCCACGGCTTTCAGGAAATTCTTCTTCTGGTGGACATCTCTTCCAGCTTTGGCTTCACGTTCTCCTCCCAAATCCTCTGCCAAGGCCTTTTTCTCCAGGTGGTTTCTGGCTGCTGGAACACGCTGGGCATCCCCGTGGAGGGGATCCCGGTTCTCCACGGGATTCTTAACAGCTCTGTCATTCTCTTGCAGCGGCACCTTCCGCTCCTTGGGAGCAGCCACAGGAATGTCACGCCTCTGCCCAGCCTCCTCCAGCTTCCCCACCATGTCCCTGTGCTGCCTGGTGGCATCTGGGGGCTGCTGGCCCAGCTGCTCCTTCCCAGCCGTGTCTCCCTTGGCTCCGAGGCCCTCGTCCTCCCTGCTCCTGGAGAGGGGCAGGGCAGGCTCCGCCTGTGCTTCTGCTGCAGGACAAAACCCACATGGAGAAGGATTTCTCAGGACATTCCCTTCTCCTGCCACCACATCCTGTGAGACACGAGATGAGGCCGCACGGGAGGAAGAGCAGAGCTGTGGTTATCCCTACAGAAATGGCCGTGCAAGGGGACTTTGCCACATGCCAAAGGAGCTCAGATCTCTCCCAGTTTGATTTTAGAGCTGCTCTGAGCCATGAGCACCCTCTGGAGGGCTCCTGCTCCCTGGCCACGTCCTTACCTGGCTTTGGCTTCTCCTCTGCCCCCTCCTCCTGCCGCTGCTGGTGGATCTCCTTGTGCTGCTCCTCGATCACTGCCAGCAGCTTTGCCTGCTGGTCCAGGAGCTGCTTGTGCTGCACCTGCTGCTCCTTGATCACCTGCAACAGCACGTTGTGGTCCAGCAGTTTTGCTGGCCCTGCTTCTGGAAAAGGGGAAAAAGACAAAGGAAGTAAAACCCCTGTGACCCTCAGAAATCACGTCAGCTCTGGATGGGCTGCAAGCGCTCTCCTTGGCAGGAAGATCTGACTCCACAAACCCTGCCAGGAGAGCGAGAAGGAAGCTGGAAGAGGATGGGATGAGAATAAGGGACCTGCACACAAGTCCAAGCTCAGGCTCCAAGCCCCCCTTGCCAGGCAGAGGTTGGAGGGAGGAGCTCAGCCTGAGGAAGGGTTTTGCAGCTCCAGCTCTGATGCCCCAGGGACAGAGCAGCCAGGGCCTTGGCGGGAAGGAGCTTTTCCCTGTGATGTGTTCAGGTGTCCCCATGTGCCCCTGCCCACACCCCTCCCGCTGTCCTGCCAGAGCAGTCTCACTCCTGTCTCCTTCTTCCCAGGGCTCCAACACCAGGGAGCAGCCAGGCCCAGGTGCCAGCATGACTCAGGTCCCCGAGTGGCCCTGCCAGGTGTGCCAGAGATGGGACAGGCACCACCTGATGCAGGGGCTGTGGCCTCAAGACACCATCCTCCCACAGAGAGGGATCTGAGGAGATCCAGACCCACCCCACACACCCTGAGGACACACACTCACCCCCTGCCTTCTCCTGTTTCTCCTCAGTGTTCTGGTTCTCCAGCAGTTCTGCTCTCTCTGGGAGGGGCAGCTCCTGCTTCTCACCTGCAAAGGAAAGGACCACAGAGCTTTGCTGTCAGTGCAGATGTTCCCTAAAACGCCTCCACGCTGTCCCGGCACCGTTCGCATCCAACGTGCCGGCTGCGAGGGAAGTAATAAACCCAATATTTAACAATCCCGTGCCTGGTGGCAGCGAGCCAGCACTAACTACCTCGGCCAATTAACATGCAAGAACAGCTCTAACTGGCTTTTAGACGGGCACTTGGCAATGTGTTCCCTGTCAAGATCTCCCGGCTCCGTGTCCCCGGTGATTTGGGAGCCGTGCAGGAACAGCACGGCACCTGACATTTTGGCGGGTAGCGAACAACTGTTTGACAGCTCTTGCAGTAGCTGTCAAAGCCACCAGATTCCTCCCTTCCCGCAGCAGCTGCCGGAGGGGCTGTGCTCACTCACGTGCTCCACTCGTGGAGTTCAAAGGAAGCACCAGGATGGAGATGGGAATGACCAAATTGTCCCGACTCCGGGGGCACTACAGGCCCAGAAGAGCTCGCTCAGTTGAGCTGCTGTGAAAGGAGCTTACCAGGGTCTGCTTCCTTCTCCACGGGCTTTGCAGCCTCCTCTGCTTTCCTGGGGAGCTGGAGCTGTGACCTGTCCCTCTCAGCAGCCTCGGCAGTGTCACCATCAAGCACGGCCGCCTGTGCCTTGGCTTCGAGCTTGGCTTCCCCTGCCTCCAGCTCCTTGTAGGGCGGCCTTCCTCCCTGCTGCAGCGCTGCCTCCGGGACCTTCTCCAGATTTGGGACAGGCCCACCAGTCCCTCCCCGCTGCTGGTTCTCGGCAGCCACTTCCTTCCCTTGCTTTGGGCCCAGTGCCTCCTTCTGGGGCTTCAGCCTGGCTGGCTCCTCCAGCAGACGGTCCTTGGCTCCTCCAGGAGCCGCTTTATTCTCGCTGGATTCCTCCCGCTCCCGCCCCATGTCCACGACCACCTCGTCGTGTGGGACTGGGGGCTCGTGGCGATGGGCCTCCCCCACGGGCACAGCAATCCCTGGGGGACAGGCAGGGTCAGAGGCAGCAGGTTCCCAGTACACCCAGCACACCCAGCACATCCAGTACACCCAGCTCCATGCTGCCCTTGTCCAGCCCTGCCTTCTCTCCCTCATCTGGAGGCCACATTCCCAACAAGCCTCCAGAGTATCAAACACTAAATCACCTTCAATCCACGGAGGTGCACTGAGGGGAGGGTAAGGAGAGGTCAGGATCTCTGTCTCAGGGTCCCACAACATACACACACCCCCAGCTCCCAGTCCAGCTCCCCTTCCCAGGGCAACTTTTACCTTGATCGGGACGGTCCAGCTGCACTTTCTCTTCCACCTTTCCTCTCTCCTCCTCCCTCTTGGGCACCTGCACGGGCACCTTGATCTGTGGCTGCTCCATCTCCTCCTTCTCCTCAGGCACTTTGGGTTTATCACGGTCATCCTCGGGCTCCTCCACCACCGGGTTCTGCTCTGCAAACACAGGATGGGGACAGGGATGAGGTGTGGGAGCTGGGAATTGCTGTGTCTGTCCCAATCCCTTCACCCACCCAGCCCAGCTGCTGATTTCCCTCCAACCTCAGCACGGTGGGGCTGGGGCAGATTTTGTTCTGGGGTGCCCTGGTTGTTTTCCCTGTTGTGGGTTTTTATGGAGCTGCTGGAAGGGAAGAGTGGCAGGGATGGAGCAGGGATGGAGAAGGGATAGAGCGGGGATGGAGCGGGGATGGAGATGGGATGGAGAGGGGATGGAAAGGGGACAGAGAGGGGATGGAGATGGGATGGAGAGGGGAAGGAGCGGGGATGGAGAGGAGATAAGCAGGGATGGAGATGGGATGGAGCATGGATGGAGCCAGATGGATAAGGGATAGACCGGGAATGGAGCACGGATGGAGCCGGCTGCTGCTGCGAGGCAGTGCCACCAGATGTCAGCATCCCCCCGGCTCCTGCCCCAGACCCTCGGCTCCGGGAGAGACCGAGGTGGAATCCAGACCCGGATCCCGCGGCACTGGAAGAGGCAGAGCTGCGATCCAGCCCCGAACCTCCCAACACCAGAACCCACCAGCCCAGCTCCCACCCCTCCGCTGCTGTTTGCTGTGAAACGTCTTAAAACCTCCTTTATAGTGATTTTCCCCCCATTTTAGTGCCCGAGTGTTCCCACAGCCCTTCAGATGCCTCTCAGAGGAGGGGTGGGGAGGTTTCCTTTTCCCGCAAGAGTTTTGAGGAGGGGGATTAAACAACAGGCATTAATTAGGGGAAACTCCTGAGGGAGAAGGGGGAGTTTCCCCCCACCTTGTCCTCAGAGACAGAATGTTTTTGGAAGACACATCCCAGTCAAACCAGTCACTGTGTTCAGCACTGGTATGACCAGCACATGGAATCTTTTGCACATTCCATGGGATGGGAAGGGTCCCTTCCACCCCCAGGATGGCAGAAAACCCACACAGGGAGTGAACTCTTCCTTTGGAGAGCAGCAGAGAAGGAAATAGAATTGTTTCCCAGCAGTGAAGTTGTTCTGCAGATTTTTTTCCATCCAACAAACTCTTAAAAAAAAAAATCTATCTTCTGTAACAAAAAAAAAATTCCCAACCCTTTCCCCCTTCGCCCTCCCCCGTGTGATTTCCTTTGGGGAATTAATTCTATAAACATCTTTCCATTTTCTCCTCCCCCTCCGCAGGGCTGGTGCGATTTATTACGAGATGAACTCATGGGAAAGAAGGGATTGCCACAACTTCAGCTGCGTGGGCCTTGCCTGAGCTGGGGAGGAGGGGGGAACAACAAAAATTCACAAAAAATTAAGTACAAACTCCTGGCCCAGAGGGATCTGTGCCAGCAGGACCTTGAGCCTCTCCAGAAACGCGGACTCCGGCCCGAGCTCCACACCCAGAGGAGGGACGTGTGCGGGACTGGCCGGCTTTCCACGTTCCTTCGCTTGGGGAGTGATGGTGGGAGGGGAAAAGGACTCGGATTTTCTGAGAAATTCGAGTCTAGTACCCAAGGGTCCCCCTCTCCATTGAGGGACTTCCCAGGGTTCAGCAAGTCAGGGCAGGACACTCCTCCTTTTCAGGAAAAACTGGGCTGCAGGAACCAGTGCCCAGGCCTGGCCAGGGGCCCTGGGAAGCGGGAGGCTGAGGCCGGGGAGGGGAGCTCAGCACGGCTGCGGATGTTCCCAGCTCAATCCTGGCCCCGATGCAAGAAATTATTTACTCTATTGGAGGAAAGTTTCTTGTTAATTGGTTCATGGAGGCGGGAGATGGCTCCGGTCGGAGAAGAGCGGAGGATCCAGAGAACCCCAACACAGGCAGGGCTGTTCCCACAGCGGATGGGAGCAACGAGCCGAGCAGGGAGATGATGTTCAAGGGGAAATAAAAAGGAACAAGGGGGAAATAAAAAGGAAGAGAGGAGGAAATAGAAAGGAAGGAGGGGGAAATAAAAAGGAAGAGAGGAGGAAATAAAAAGGGAGAGAAGGAAATAAAAAGGAAAGAGGGGGAAATAAGAAGAAAGGAGGGGGAAATAAGAGAGGAGGAAATAAGAAGGAAGACAGGGGAAGCTTTCCTTGCCATCAGGAAGCAGAGGAGTTAAACGCAGCAGTTCCCCTGCCCAGAGCAGCAGGTGAACCCCCGCGGGCCCAGGGCAGCCCGAGGGGCCGGGGGAGGCCCCGCTCTGCTCTGGGAGTGTCCCTGGCAGCTTCCATCATAAATCAGGCAGAGGCACGTTCCCCGCTCTGCAAACAATGCAGGAAAAGCCCAAAACACAAACAAAACACAAACCCAAAAGTCTCCACGCCGCAATAAGGCCAAGCTGCCTCGAAGCCATCATTTGCTCAGCGGGAGACAAAATTAAGTTCATCATCAGGGCGTGAATTAACAACCTCTCAGGCTGCCTGGAAATCCATCCGGGGCTCCGGCTGCTTTGCAGGGAAGAGTTTTGCTGGGGCTCTGCCTCTCTTCTTGCCCTCCAGGTCCCTTTGAAGCATCTTCCAGTAACGCTGCGCCTCGTCGTGTTTTATGAGCGGCCTTGGAGATTACAGGCAAGGCCTGAGAGGCTGTAAAAGCTTTTTGGCTTCCAAGGAGAGGCCGGGGTGTGAGGCAGCACCGAGAGGCTTCACTCTGACCCCCGGCTCTCCGGCAGCTCTGCTCACACGAGGGGAAGCCGGGGCGTCCTGCAGCTGATTTGTGTGTGTGCGTGCCTGGGTGTGTTGTGGTTTGGCAACAGCCTCTCCAGGCTGCCATAAAATTTCATGATTAGCAACCTAAAAGCTTCCCTTCTCCCCCTGCTCCTGGTTCGGATCGTTGCAATGGTCCCAGGCAGGCACTAAATCCCTCCTCACACGTTTTTCCAGCCTCTCAAAGCTGAAATGTGCTTCCACAGCCCCTGCCCTAGGCAGAGGCAGCGGGATGGGCCCTGCTGTGCTCGCCCCCAGTCCAGGGGGAGCCTTAAGGACAGCACAAGGAGCTCCGGGACACACCTCCCTCTCCAGGGTGTCACCCCAGGGCTGACCAGGGACATGGGGTCCAGGACCTGCTTGTGCCAGTGCAGCTCCAGATCTGCTGAAATTCCTTCATTGCATGATATGGAGCAAGATCCAGGAGCCTGTGCCAAGGAAAACGGAGCCCAACAAGCAGGGCAGAGGGCTGGGGGCAAACTCTGCCCTGGGATGTGCCGAGCACCAGGAGCAGGGCAGGGCCAGGCCCTCCCTGGGGAGCCCCCGGCCCAGCTGCGCCTCCAGGAGCCCTCCCTCCCCCCCAAACGGGTCCAGATTTCACAAGGTTATGGAATGGCATCCCTGAAATTAGTTCACAGTTGTCTCCTGACGCACCAGCAGTAAAAACCAACCCAAATTACCAGAGGCTGCTGGTTCCTTTTCTGTGTCACAGGCACTATTAAAAGCTCGCTCGCACAAAGCACCAGGGAGAGCCGCGGCGGAGCCAAGCTGTTCCTGCAGGATGCAGGAGCCACGTTCCACACATCTCCGGGGCTGCTCCGGCGGGGAATGCCGGCAGGGACCCGGCCTGCCGCGGGCAGCTTGCGGCTGGGGGGCAAAGCACAGGGATGGAGGGTGCAGGGATGCACAACACAACCCCAGATTTTGCCCCAGTTCAAATAACAGAGCCCACCCCATGCCCCAGGACAGCGGGATGGCCGGAGCAGGGTGCCCAGCACACCGGGGAAAGGGCTCTTGCACAAGGAGCCTGAATCAGGGCTTTGTTACCCAACATTGCACAACAGCAGGGAGAAGATGAAGCAGCAACGATCAAGTAAGGAGCTGAAAAATATTACAAAATCTTAATCCCCCCCGAGACCCTCGAGGGTGCTTTAAATACGGAGAGAAATTGCCTAATTAGCTTTTTTTTTTTTTTTTTTTTAATGGATAATTGCCTTCCTGAGCTTTCAGAGGCAGCTTAGCAACCTTTTAACAGAGGCGCAGCCGCGGCAGGACGGGGCTGGAAGGGGTTTTATCCCTTTCCCGAAGAGCTGCTGACAGTAAAACCTCCAGCACCACAGGCTGGGGCTGTAATGGGCACTTGGGTGTCGTTAGGAAAAACACGATTCCGAGGCCGCTGGTCAATACGTGTTCACATAAAAGGCCAATGTTCTAATATTCATAATCCCCGGGCCCACGGGGCAGGGCTTTAATGAAAGTCTCTCCAGTTCTGGGCTCCACAACATCAAAGAGGCCAATAAAACTCCTCTCACACGCTGACAGGCGGGAGGCAGACGGGGAAGGCAGCGCTGGAGAAAGGCCCTGTGCTTTGCCTTGGATGTGGCAGCACGGGAAAGGGCACGGAGCAAGCCTGTGCCCAGGGAAGGGGCTGAGCACCCTCTGACCCAGAGGCACAGATGCACCTTGTACCTGGAAGGAGGGGTCTGGAAGAACCCTCCACCCAGGAAAAGGGCTGGGAGCAGCACCCTGTGCCCTGGGGAAGGGGCTGAGCAGCCAGCAGGGGTGCCCAGGGGTGAAGCTGTGGGATCCTGCTCAGCCCCGGGTGCGGAATTCGGCCCATCCGGAGGGCACCCAGGTGCCGGGGGTGGCCCAGCCCGCATCCTGCGGCCCTGCAAGGACAGGATGCAGCTGCTGCAGCGCGTTCCAGGAGGCAGCTCCTGCTCTGCAAAACAAGGCGGGTGAGGACGAGGGGGAGCCACGGCGGGGGATGAAGGGCACCATTTAACGCCTCTCATTGCTAGTCAAGCCGACATCCTGCAGAGGCACAGGGAGGCACAGATCCAAGGGATCGCAGCGCCGGCTCTCCCGGGGCAGCCCCACGTCCACCCCGCAGGTCCTTGTCCCCCTCCTCCCTCCTCTTCCTCCTCCCCGGGGAGGGAGCCCCCATTGGCAAAGGGACCTCAGGGGACAGCTGAGCTTTCCCTTGGAACTGCAGGGCTCCTCCCTGGGAAGTTTATGAGCCGGGAGCACTAAACCCGCCTTCCTCCCGGGTGGGATTATTTAATCCAGCAGCACTCAGAGCTGCTGCCGGCGGGCCCCGGGATCGCTCGGGTGATCAGAGCCTGGCATCCCGCTCCACCGCCCCAGCTCACGCCAAGAAGGGGAGAAGATTCAGCAAACTCCTGCAGACACCGTGTTTTATGGGATTTTTTATTTTCCCAGTCAGAACACGTGTCATTAGCGATTCCTCCTGAAAGGAGCAGCTGTTCTTTGGCCATTACTGCTCCAAAATTAACCAAGACGGAAGAATTCAATCGCATCCCTCCTCCAGGCCCTGCTGAGGGCTCCATTAAGGGATTGGGAGTGTCTTTTGCTTGGAGTTCGCCGGCATCCGCGTGCCCGGGAAGGCACACACGGCCTTGAGTAAGCCACGAGTAAACCACAAGTAAACTCCACCACGGAGCAACCCCAGAGTGAATGTTATCGGCAGCAGCACCGGTGTGGGAGACGCTCCAAGCTGCCGGGCAGGAACCCAGCCAAGAACCAGGAGGGAGGATAATCTCCACAAGAGCCAGCCCCTTTCTCCCTTCCGCTCTCAATCTCTGCGAGGATATTTCAAGGCCTCCAAAGAACAAAAAAAAAAAAAAAAAACCCCACAGGAGCAGAAGGAAACAAAAGTGCAGCGAAGGAACAGGACGCGGCGGGGCCGAGGGGCAGCGCGGGGTCAGGCGGCACCTGCGCGCCACGGCCTCGCTCCGGAGCAGCTGGGAAAGGGAGGAGCGGCCGTAATTCCATCAGCAGCCCCAGCAAACAAATAATAAATAACAAGAACCGGTAAACAAAGCTGAGGCATAATCACAGGCTTTGTCAGAGAGGGAGCCGAGGCCAAATTTATACCCTCGGCACCAAAAAAAGAGGCAGTTCCCATAAATTTCCCTTCCTTCGAGGGTGATGGACGGATGGTCCTTGGGCTGGCATGGGGGGAGAACAGTCCCGTGGGCCAGGTGGGTACTCTGCTCATCCCAAACTGGGATCACTGCTCTGTCCCTCCAGGGGATCCCAAGCCTGTACCACACCCTTCCCTTCCCAAAAGAACAACTCCCATAGTGGACCACTGGAGGTCACAGCAGATTTTCCAGCAGACAAAAGTGCAGCTTTTCCTGGGAAAAGGCCCCAGGAAGCTGGGAAGATGCACAGAGCTGCCTGGAAATTACCCTGCTACCACCACACTTGAAAAAAACCAACCAGATTTCTCCTTCTTTTTAAGAGGTGACCTGGGAACAGGGCTGGGAAACCCAACTCCAGTAAGCACATACCTGGAAGTTTGACGGAATCCTGGTCAATTCTGCTCTCCTCTCTGTCCAGGTGCTCCAAGCCCACTGCTTCTGTCCTCACACGGGTGTCCTCAGTGGCAGACAGGGTGGTGTAGGTGCTGATCACCAGCATGCCCAGCCCAATCCACAGGATAATCTGCACAGAGGGACAGAGGGACAGTGAGCACAGGAAATCCAAGGGGACTGCTCCCCACAGCATTCCCACGGTGCCTGCACAGAATTCCAAGCTCAGCACAGGGACACGTGTTAGGGAGAGAAGAGAAATGTCAGAGAGAAACAGGAAAACCAGTCGCTCCTGGCTGAGGTTCATTTCTGGGTGTAGGGCCATGGGAATGGAAGCTGTTTCAGAGGCTGGAAGCTGTTGGAAAAGCTTTGGAAGGGCTCAAAAGTGAGTGAAGTGAGTGGGCAGGACCCAGGGATAGGAAAATGCATGTAGCAGACAAGTCCTACTGCAAAGACTCATTTCCTGGTATTCCCAGCATGAGAACTCCATGAAATCAGGTCTGGCTGAGCACAGAGGAGCCTGGCCTGGTTACAGCCCCAAACCATTCCAGAGAGCTGCTTAAAAATCCTTGGTTTTGAAAGCAAGGGTAACATGTCCACACACAGATCCTGGTCCTAGGGCCCAAGAAGCTGCTGAGAAATGACTCCCTGATTCCCAGAAAGCGAGGATCAAACAGAGTAAAAATAGAAGGGTGGAATCAGGATCCCATGGAGGGAAGGGCTCTTGGAATTTCTCTACCTCAAAAAGGAGAAAGTGATGAGCAGCAAAGGAATTTTTACAGCTTGTTATGTGATGACAAATTGATCTAAAAGGATCTAATTCCACATGAGTCATAGGAAGTGTTGGATGGCACTTGGACAACCTGGTCTAGTGGAAGGTGTCCCTGCCCATGGCAGGAGGTGGAACTGGATGAGCTTTAAGGCCCCTCCCAGCCCAAACCATTGCATGATTCCATGACTCCCAATCCTCACTGTGCAGATTCACATCCCAATTCACAAAAAACAAAAGAAAAAGATGCTTCTCAGTGTGGGGAAAACCAAGAATGGCCACAGGGAGCACTTCACCATTGGAAGCTGCCAGAAAACTGCAAATCAAGGGGAAAGGTGAAATTGGAAGGAGGAATTAAAACATTGGCACTTCCAGAGGGGGAGGAGGGGCCGATGCTTTCCTCACCCACTGAGGGAGGTCACCCAGCAAGAGGGAGCAGCGTGCTCAGAGCTGGGCTCAGGGGACCCCGGAGGGCCCGTTCCCAGCACGCCCCGCAGACAGCCCGACGCCTTCGGAAGGAAAAGGCTGGCGGGACGCGGAGCAGCTCTGGATCAGGGGCAGCGTGGCCAGGGAGCAGAGGCCAGACCTTAGAGCTGCTGCAGAGGAAACAGGAGCAGAATGTGCTGCCTGCCTTGCCGGGGTGCACAAAGAGCAGATATCCTGCCATCCACCCCCCCGGCCCCGGGCAAACGCCGAGTCAGCAGGTCCTGCACTGCTGCCCTGGGCTGAGCTGCTCCACTTCCTCCCCTCCCACAATCCACAGCCCCGGCACAAATGCATTTTGTGCCTGGGAGGTTGTTCTGGCACCTTCCAGAAACAACAGCGCAGAGGAAGAGCGTTTCCACAAAGAGGATCTATTCTGGTGCCACAGGAACCAGGAGCAACGTGGGAGAGGAGGGAGCTGTAGGAAACGGCTGAAAACATTAAATGCTTTAAAAGGATTTTTGTTGTTTCTTATCTTAGTGGGGAACCAGGGGCTCAAATGCCTCGGATTGAAACCCCTTTGATTGTTGCACATTTGGAGTTCAGCTGCGAGCTCCCGGAGCAGTGGGTACGGGCACACGTGGCAGTCAGAGACAGGCTGGGCTGTCCCTGAGCTGCCCTCACCCAGCTCCCCCCTCCTCACCTACCCCCTCCCCAGCTGAAGACCAGAATAAAGAGGGCCACGATTTGGCTTAATTCCATGGAGATGCTTATGCCATGGAAAAGCAGGCGGTTTGTGCTCAGGGGACCACCAGGGCAACTGAAGGAACAGGACTGAGGGCTGCAAGGACTCGAGCGCTCAAGGAACCAATCCAGGCAGAGGAGCCACCAATCCCCAGAGCATCCAGAGAGATCCTGCAGCGAGGGGAGGCTCAGCACGTCTGAGCCAAGGTCCCAGGGGAATGATCCCCCCTGAGCCAGCGATCCCACTGAGAGCAGAGCCTTTTCTGCAGAAGCCCCTCTCAGCACAGACACGAGGAGAGGCTGTGGGAAGCCCTGGGGCAGCTCAGCAGGGCCAGGGCCAACTCCTGGGAGCCACGCTCAGAGCACGGACGGGAATCCAGCAGAGGAAGTTCACGCGGCCGCTTCCTCGGCCGGTTGTGCTCCCCTGGCCCTCCTTCCTCCCAGAAATGATCCAGCTCTGCAGAGCAGAGCCATTAGCTCAGCCCTGTCCTGCAGCCACGGGAAGCAAACACGCTGCATTTGTGTGGCGTGACGCCATCCCCGTCCTCCTCCCGGACACCAGCGAGCGCTCCGAGGGACAGAGTCATGGCGAAGGAATGCAGAGCCCCGGTCACTGCCAGCCCCCTCCTCAGAGATGCTGTGTTTTGGGGGGGCTGTACTCCTGGATGTGCTGCTGGGGAAGATGTGCTGGCCCCTGCGCTGCCAGGGAAGGGCAGAGGGAATCTCTTTTCCACCCGCACAGGAGCGAGCCCAGGGGTCACTTCCTGACCTCCAGCAGCTCCTCTTCCCCAACTGGGACAAGAGCAACTCCGGCCTCCCTAGGAGGGGCCTCTCGGACAGGCTTGTGTCAACACTGGGAAGGCAACACCTTCCTGCTGGCAGCTCCACACTCTGCTCACAGACCCCCACACGGCCCTCGGCAGCTCTGCCAAACCGGGGCTCCCAGGGAGCAGCGGGACGCAGACCCTTACAGCAACAGATGCTAAACCACAAGAAAGGGAACACTCTCCCTGCTTCACTCTCAGCACTGTGTGCCTGACTCTGGGCTTTTTAACTGCTCTGGGACCTGCCTTTCCAACCTAACCCTTCCAACCAGGGCACTCCCAGCCCAGCCCAGCTGAGCAGCAGCTCCAATCCTTCCCAGTTCCTCAGCAGAAGCCTTTTGCTGACCAGCAAACATCTGCCCATTTCCCTCCCCCATCTGAAATCCTCTTCATTGCTTTTAGTGTTTCGTAGGTTCGGTTTGCACCTCTCCTGTAAAAACCTGGCCTTTCACGTCACCACCTGCCCCACACTGGACACTGCTGGGTACCAGAAGTGGCCTGATAAAAGCAGCCAGTCCTCAGCAGCACAAGAGCCAAGATAACCCAGAGAAGTGTAAAAGCTGGCGCTGAGGTTTGCTGCTCTGAAGGAGCTAAAGCTGATGCAGGGAAGGAGGGGAAACGTCCCTGTACCCTGTTTGGACAGGGACAGGAAGGGAAGGACAGCTGAGCCCAGGGCTCGCATTCTCCCCCCACCCGCCACCTTCCTCAGGAGCTGACTTTGATGGAGTGGAGCACCTGATCAAAGGAGTGCAGGAATGAAGGAGGAGACCAAAGACAGAGCTCCAGGGAAAGAATAAATGAGCCTTTGCAAAGACCTGGAGGGAGGAGAGGGTGGGCTCGGAGCTGGGCTGTGGAGGCGGGGAGGTGCTGAGCAGGGCGGGCAGGTGTGTTCTCGCTCCAAGCAGGAATGCAAACCTGACAGGCAATGGATCACTCAGGGAAGGCTGGACAGCTTGCTGCCAGCCCCTCGAGAAGTAACCCGGGGCCTGATGCTTTAGATAAGCCCTTCCTCCTTTGTGGGGATTTCTGCAGGACAAACATCTCCCTGAGCCTCGTGACCGGGTTTGGGGTCAGGCATTGTGAGGGCCCCAGTGTCCCACCCCGAGCAGCCGGGCTTAGAGCTCAGCCTGTCCTGAGTGGAGCCCCGAGGCACTGCAGGGAAACACTCTGGCTCAGCCGGAATAGAAAGCAATTCTTGAAAGTGCTCTTTGTTTCCCTGAAAAACCCAGGCTGGCATTCAGACTCCTGCTCGGGGTTTCACTCAAAGAAGTTCGGAGCTAAGTGTCAGAATTCAGAGTGAAAGCTGGAAAGTTGGACTACTTCCTTGTGTCAGGGAAAGCACAGGGAAGAAAAAAAACACACCCTGCTTAAAAAATTCACGTAGGTTTGCAAAGCCACAAGTCATTAAGCAGAGAACAAGCCACCAGTTCTGTGGGCCCCACAAAAACGTGCTGCTCTCCCCTGCTGACTCCACACTGTGCCCAAAACCTTATTCCCAACCCAGCACTGTCCTGACTGGGAATGTTGGGACAGAGACCTGTGAAAAAGGCAGTGGATTAAATTATTGTTAGGGAAAAAACCCAAAACCTGTTAATTTCAGCCCACGGTATTTGCAGGAGCAGAGAGATCAAGCCCAGCAAAGAGCCACTTTGTTTCAGTCCCTGAGGAGGCCAATTCAAACTGGAGCAAAAGGAAAAGTTAAACTTCTAACAGCCTCTGAACGACCCCAATCCCTCAGAAAATCAATTCCTGAAGCAACACCTCTATGTGTGTGTTCCTTTTTACTATTATTTTGGTTGAAAGCAGAAAGCTGAGGGTCGGCAGCACAAACCACATTGTGGAGCCCTGTTTGTTTTACCCAGCCCGGGCAGGTCGGGATGTGAGGCTTTAAGGTTTTACAGGCTGCCTGGATTTCCTGTTCTGAGGATCCAAAACCTGAATCCCACCCAGAGGAGGACTGGAAGCAGCGTTTTATGCACAAAATTATTGTTTCACTTGATGCTGGAGGGACAAAAAGAGCTGGTGTTCCAGCTTGGGCCATCACCTCTGCCACTGTCTGTGCATCCCAAAGTGGTGGACACCCACCCAGAACAGCTCCCACCTGTACTGGGCAGACTGGAGGGGGAGGCTGGAGGAGGTGCTGAGCAGTTTCTGTGCTGCAGCCAAATGAAGCACGTTCCCAGGCTCTGCAGAGGGCTTAGGGGGATGTCAAGCAGCATCAGCACTGACCTGTGAACAAAGCGCATTCTTGTGGATCTTCTTGTAAATAAGAGCTGGGCAGATGAAACAAATGAGGCTTCCCATGGTTGCACCTGTCAGGCCCAGGACTGTTTCCACTGGAGAAAAAGAGGAAAAGTCAGCAAAGGTCCTTTCCAGGAGTGCCAGAGCAGCAGCACAGGACAGCTGCCAGAACCCCCGGGCAGGATGGGGTGTGAGTCTGGTCACCCCAGCCAGGAAAACAAATAACAGAGCCCAGAGAAAGCAGCCAGCCCTTGTTCCCAGCTCCTCACTCACCATTGGGGATCATGATGCCTCCGACCATGGTTCCAAACACAACAGCCAGCGTCAGGGCTTTGAAGCGCAGCGGGGGCATGTAGCCCCCGGCAGCGAAGGTGCCGTCCTTCTGCTGGGAGGGCAAGGGTGCAGGGGGAGAGTTAGCTCTGGGATTGCAGTCCCCAGACCCCCAACAATTCCCTCAGCAATGCTCCCTGCAGCTCCAGCCCATCCCAGCTGTGATCCCCCCTCAGCAGGGACTCAAAGAACAGCCCAAGGCCAGAGGCAGGAGGAAGGAGCTCAGGGGTGCAGCAGGAGGGAGAAGCTGCAGAGGAAGAGCTCTGGCTGTGCTAGGGAGAGGTATTCCCCAACAGCTCTGGGAGCAGAGCCATCCCCACTGCTTTCCACCACAGGAGCAGCCCCTCTGACTGGGAGACACCCCAGGGAGAGCACAGGGGAGGATGGGTGCTGCTGGAGGAATTCCAGAGGCCCTCTGCTTCCCATCCCATCCCACCTCCCAAATGGGGGGTGTGGAAGGCAGAGGCCCCAGTGTGCTCTGCAGACCCAGCAGGTCCCAGCTCTGCTGCTGCACAGATGGGGGAGGAAGGCAAAGCGACACCTTCAGAGCCCAGCCAGCCACGAGCTGAGCCCAGGCGAGATCCAAAGTGTTCCCAAGTGTTTCCAGCGCTTCCTCCTCTGCACCCGCTGGCTCTTACTGAGCCTGCCCCCATCCTCAGGCCCTCCCAACGTGAGAAAAGAGCCGGGGGCTTCTCACAGGCAGAAGTGGCAGGATTTAGGGCTATAAATTGCTCAAGTTTTATTTCCTGCCTAAGAGGTTTCTATTTATGCGGATACACAAAGGCCTCAGAACATTCCCACAATCTCTCAGTGTTATTTGCTGAATCCCATCGGCGCGCTCCGTGCGCACAATGCACAGAGGAGAACACGCCACTGCCACAAGGGACTCACAGTCTCCAGCAGACAGACCAGCCTCAGTCACAAAGGCTGGCTGAGGAGCTGGCCCTGGGAAAGGTGGAACGTGTGGGAGAGGGCTGGATCCCACATCCCACCGCCCGCCCCCGGCACCGCAGCCCGGGAGGCGCTGGAGGAAGGGGACATCCGAACCCGCAGAGGAAAGGGCTGCTCCAGGGCTGCTGACAAAGATGCTGGGTGAGAATAATGCAGCAGGAATCAGCAGGCACACAAGGAAACAAGAAGAAATGGGGCTGGGCTGGGCTCCGAGGCCGGGAACGGGAGCTTGAGCTCAATGAGTTGGCCAGCAAAAGGACAGCAGCTGGAGCAGCAGGAAATGAGGAGGCTCTGCTGCTTCCAAAAGCACATTTCTCCCTTTTTCTGAGGGGAAGAAACCACCTCAGCTCTGAGCTGTGTAACGTGTCTGTGCCAGAGCTGGAATCGCCAGCAGAGCAGGGAGCAGCAGCCACGGGACATGAGCTTTACACTGGGAACTCCACTCCTTTGGCCCATGGAATTCCTCTGCAGAGGGGACACAAACCTCCAAGTGCCAGGGATTAACCACTGAGCAGAGCAGGATTTAGAGGTGGCCACAGGCCCCTGCTGCACTGTCACCACACCCTGGGCACTGAAGATTTTTTGGGAGTTGAGGTTTTGTCCCTCGGGATACCTGCCACATGCCATTATCACCAGAGTCTCAGGGAGGCAAGGCCCGTTTGGGGCCCAGAGACCAAAGAGTCACAAAAACCCTTCAGGAGTCAAGCTTCACACTGAGGCAGCCCTGGGATCTTACCTGCTGCTCAAAGAGCAGGGTGTTCAGAGCCTGTCTGCAGGGCAGGATCATCATGGGGAACCCCACTGCCACGGACATCATGAATCCCACTCGGATCATCTCCGTCACCACGTTGGAAGGGAAGTTCATCAGCACATTCCCAGCAATGGCCTCGGTGTAACTCACGTAGCCAAAGAAGCCCACCTGGAGAGGGGAGCAGGGTTGGAGTCCCAACATTTCACACCTGCTCCTCACAGAGGGTACAGACAGTGACCTCCCGTGGGAGCAGCCAAGTGGGAGTGCAAGGTCACTCCAGGGGCACCCCAAAACCTGGGACAGGTGGTTAATCAAGACTGGGAACTGCCTAAAAGCAAGTTTCTCATCAAAGCCAGGGGTTTTCCTAGAGGACACACTTTGTTTGCTGCCAGGCCCATGGACTGTCCCTCTCCAACAGAGAGAGGGGGCTGTCACAATTCCCTGCAGCAGCCTGGATCATGGGCCAAGGCTCTCTTCGGGAATTATTAACCCAGTTTTATTAACTGCTGCCTTATGAGGCATAACTTCCTTCAAAACAGGCTGGAAAAAGCTCTCCCAAACTCTGGGCAGCAGCCCCTGCTCCAGGCTGGGCCTGGGAAGATCTGGGCCTCCACTCTGCCTCCATCCAAGGAAACATGCTACTCTGAAAACCTGGATTCTCCCAGTGCCCCCTGTGCCCTTGGGTTCATCACCTCCCACCTAACTCTGCTTTCAGCAGGAGGACTTATCTGTCAGAATAAATACAGATAAGCAGAAACCCGCCCCAGCTGTAGATAAAGCCTCATCCCTGTGGCCCCTCCAGATTTCTGGCAAGGGAAGAGAAGGGGAAGTTCCTACCATGATGTAAAAGGTGGTGACCACGTTTAGGGAAGAAGCAAATATGGAGCTCATGATTTTGACAGACGGCTCATCCAAGCTGTCGTAAGTAGGCAAGACCTGACTGTAAAAAGGGTAAAATATTTAAGGAAACCTGCAGGAAACGGGAGAAAACCCCCAATCCCAGCCCAATCTCTGCCTCAGCCCAGCAGCAACGAATCCCTGACACCTTCCCCCTCTGGAGCATAAACACCTGCTGCTATTCCACAATTTATACTGCTAATGCCAAGAGATTTCAGAACACTCATAACTTTTAAGTGTTGCAAAAATATTCCTGCTCTCCCCACCCCACCACGTGGAGCGAAACGTGTGATGTAAACATTTGGGTTCAGGAAGGGTTGCAAAATGAATGACCGTTTGTTCCCGGGGCCACGGGTGGCTCTGGGCCAGCCCCAGCGCCAGAGATTATTGTTCTTGGAGCTCTCCGTGCTGATAATTAAAGCAACACAGTGTTTACAGAGGAAAAGAGGGAAGAAGGTTGGAGCATCCCACTGTCTGAAGGAAAATTAAACAAACAAACCCCAGCACAGCAGCCTGTCCTACTTCAGCTCGCTTCATAGAAAGCCACAAGTGCCAATTCCCTGGGATTTGGGGTATTTACAGCCTTGGAAAGCGTGGGGAATGTTCCTTTTGACATCAGGTGCATATTTTAGCAACTCATTAACCTCTTGTTACTTTAATTTTAGCGGCTACATCCCGGAACTCTCGGGAGAAGGGGGGGGCCTGCAGGGAGATGGGAAGGGGTATCCCCAGCTCCAGTGGGCACCAAGCCATTCCCAGGAAGTGTGTCAGGCTGGGCCCAGCAGAAAGATCCTTAACCCTTAATCCCTGAGCGTCAAAGGAGGCTCTGGGGCTGGAGGTACCAGCAGGGAGCAAGGACTTCCCTGGGAGTCTCCATCTGGGATTCCTCCCTGGGACTGAGGAGACTGGCTTCCCTGGGAATCTCTCCTTTTGGGATTTCTCCCTGGGACTGAGGAGACTGGCTTCCCTAGGAATCTCTCCTTTTGGGATTCCTCCCTGGGACTGAGGAGACTGGCTTCCCTAGGAATCTCTCCTTTTGGGATTCCTCCCTGGGACTGAGGAGACTGGCTTCCCTAGGAATCTCTCCTTTTGGGATTCCTCCCTGGGACTGAGGAGACTGGCCTCCCTGGGAATCTCTCCTTTTGGGATTCCTCCCTGGAGAAAGGAGACTAGCTTCCCTAGGAATCTCTCCTTTTGGGATTTCTCCCTGGAGAAAGGAGACTGGCATCCCTAGGAATCTCTCCTTTTGGGATTCCTCCCTGGGACTGAGGAGATTGACTTCCCTAGGAATCTCTCCTTTTGGGATTCCTCCCTGGAGAAAGGAGACTGGCTTCCCTGGGAATCTCTCCTTTTGGGATTCCTCCCTGGAGAAAGGAGACTGACTTCCCTGGGAATCTCTCCTTTTGGGATTCCTTCCTGGAGAAAGGAGACTAGCTTCCCTAGGAATCTCTCCTTTTGGGATTCCTCCCTGCCCTCTCCACAGCTACCTCCAGCTACATTCTGGCCTTCAGCATCTGAGGGAAGGGTCCAGCCAAACATTCAGGCTTGGGAAGGAAAAAAGAGGGAAAAAGGGAAGGTCTACAGTGTGTGGGATGGTTAAAAAGGTGATTCAGAGGTTAGTAAAGTTAAATCTACCCAGCTACTATAAACTACATATAAAGAGAGGAATAGAATATATAGAAGGTGGGTAGAGAGAGAAAGAGAGAATACACAGATGGAAAGAAATTTTTAAAAATATACAAATATTGCCTGGGCTGGGGACAGGGTATTTTCCTGATGTTTGGAAAGAATACACAGCTTTAGATTGGGTTTGCCACAAAAGTGCTGCCATGGAGCCCATATTTAGGCACACACACAGGTCCAGACCGAACCATTTCCCTGCATTTCCAGCTCCCAGGAAAATTGTCCTGGGTACTGCATGGCTTCCATAAGGGAAAAAAAATGAAAGGGATTTGTTAACAAGGTAAAGCTGCAAGAGAACACAATTCCCTTTGCCAGTTGTAATGGAGACATTAAACAGCAAGCCTGGAGTGTGCCGGGCTAGGATCTGAGCTGCCAAGAGAGCCAGTAAGTGGGAAATGATGATTTGGATCTTGGAGTGGGTGTAAACACAGCAGTCTGAGCAAATTTTATCTGTCACATTCATTTACTGTTGGCACGAGACCCGTTTGCTGGAACTACATGGGGGAAGCCCAGCTCTGCCAGGCTTCCAGAGAAGGATGCTCCTTCCAGAGCAGGCCAGTCCTTCCCTGCCCAGGGCTGGATTCACACGGGTTAGAGCTGTCACACAGCACTCACCTGCTGTCCTGGTGCAGCAGGGAATGCTGCTAGAAACCTGGGACAGCCTGGCCTGCCCTCACCTTCTCCCACCTGTCACAGAAACCCTCCCAAACCCAGGGAACTGGACAGGTGGAAATAGCCTGGTCTGCTCTCAGCTCCTTCCACGTGCCACTACACCCAGGGAACTGGAAATGCAGGAGTTCTACAATATTCTGGAAATGCAGGAACACCCCTCCAAAGCCAACACCTGTGTGACCTTCAGAGTGCTCTGCAGGAAATGTGGGGAGCAGAGCAGCCCCCAGCATTCAGGGGGTCACACAGGGGGGTGGCACAGCCTTTCCTGGTGCTCCAGCATTCCCTCCAAGAACCAGGGGAATTTCATCCCTCCTGCAGCTGCACCAGAAGCTCCCGAGGAGCTGTTTGGCTCCAGTGGTCTCAAGTTGCTCCATTACAAGAACTCCCAGGTGAAATGGAATAACAAAAGGGTCTGGGTAACAAAAGGGTCACGACTGAATGAGAGGCTGAACTTCAGAGAGCTGTAAAGTACCCCGATGAAAACAAACCACCAAAGCAGATGGTATCTATCCCTTGCAGATCCTCCTGACCCTGTGCCCCTCACACAAACTCCCAGCAGGAACAAGTGCCAGGGCTGGGAAAGGCAGGTACTTACGACTGGCAGGCAAAGGACATTCCAAAGATGGGGATGCAGCGGAAAATGCCCTCCCAGCGCATGTAACTGACCCGCTGCAGCCACTGCCCGCTGAAGAGCCCGTGGTTGAAGGAGGACAACACAACCTGCAGCAGGACAGACAGCAGGGGTGAGCAGCCAGCCCCAAACAGCTCCACGGCAGCAGCAATGCCAGGCTGGGATAACCCGAGCTGCCAGCACGGCCCCATCCCAATTCCCCAGCCCCACTGAGTCCCACCCACACCAAAGATCCCAGGGCCACCAAGGATCCCAGGGTGTATTCCAAGGGATCTGTGACATTCCCCCCTTGTTTGATGCCATCAGAGCACACACAGTTTCCACTGACACGCTCACTGTGAGAATCATTGTTCAAAGCAGCCTCTTTTGCACTTTTTAAAATGTGTTTTTAAATCCAAACAGGAAGCACCGTTGGCCTTAGAGAATCCTGTTCAGCAGAGAGAGACAAAGGGTCCTAAAACAGGATCCCACCTGCTGCTCCAGGGCCATTTAACACCACCAGCTCACCAAAGAGAAGGAAAAGCTTTATGGAAAGAGGGAGGAGCTGAGGCCAGGGAGCTCCCTTGCCATGGACACAAGAACTGGCAGGAGTTGGGTTGCACAGGAAGCAGAAGGTAAATATGTCTGAATGTCTGTTTATAATATCGTTGGATGGGGTTTCTAATCTCCAGAGATGTTTCAGTGCAGCCAGCTCTTGTGAATGTTGTGGTTTCTTAAAGGCACAGCTCCTGGGAGGTTCCACACCCCCCTGAGGAGGCAGCTCTGAGGTGTGACCCTGCACAGCCTACTAGAAAAGTTACATGCAAAGAATTCCCACAGCTCCCTTTCCTTCCAGTCCTGAAATTTGGGTGCGACAGGGCTGGAGCTCCAAGAGGGAATCACAGGAGCATCTGGGAGCTCACAGGAGCATCACAGGAGCGACTGATCACAAAAATGAACAGAAAGGAGGAAAAGGAAGGGGATGCCCGGTGTCCGTACCCACCACGAACATGAACACGCTGTAGAAGATGAGAGCCATGGCACTGAAGGACTGAATGGAGGCCATCATGTTCCTCTGCAGGCTCAGGGGAAGGACAATGCACAGGGAGACAGCGAAGAGCAGGACAATGCGGAACGGGCCCGACACCTGCACAACAGACCTGCATCAACACCTGCAGCAGGGAGGACACCCCACACACCCCCCAGGCAGCAAACCCTGGCATGGCTCAGCTTTCCAGACTGAAAAGTAACTTTAAACAGTGCAATTGTGTGTCTGGAGGTGTTTGAAGATGCTGCAAGCTCGGGCTGTGTCTGTGCTGAGCTGAGACAGTCACTGGGTGCCACTGTTGCTCTGCAGTGTGTGACAGGTCCAAGCTGGAAGAATTTGGGGGGTGGCTGGGGGGGTTAAATGCTAATCCAGCACAAGCTATTTAGGTATTTTCACGCAATTAAATAAAACCTAAATTTACTTGGGGAGACGAGAAATTGAAAGTGTTGAAAACTCCAATCCAGAAAATTAATCAAAGCCTCACACTGCTATTTATTATAGCAGAGCACTCTGGAATGCTTGGAAATATTTAATACCTAATTTGGCTGCAGCCTCAACGCATCTTTTTTAACTTCACAGTTCCTTAATCTGAGCTTAGGAGCATCAGGCAGCACAGATAACACTGTACCAAAAATCCTTTTGCTTCCCTGCACGGCCCTCATGCCGGCTCTGAGGAGCACCTCTTGCCTCTGAGCACCCTGAGCCAGCAGCAGGCTCATCACACGGCTGAGGAGGCAGGAACACAGAGACTTTGGCCACAAAACCAGCCAGGGACAGGACAAAAATCCCTCCTGAACTACAGGGAGGAGAGCTCAGGCAGAGGAACTGCCTGTCACTACCCACTGGGGCAGGAATTAAGGCAGGAAGCATTATCTCCCCCAGGAATCTGCTCCAGAATTAATAAGGGACCAAGTTAAAAAGAATTCCTTTGATGGAAATGCCTTATTGGAGTTTTACACAGCTGATTGTTTGCCATATGTCTGAGCTCCCCAGACTTCCCAGAGCAAAGGCTCCGTGCACGAGGATCCCTCCATGAGGGGACCCCACAAAGCCCCCCTGGGACACCAGGGGATGCTGAGCAGGAGCTCTGCTGTCCCCAGGGGACACAGTGCAAGGGCAGGGAGCACTGCAGGAGTGATTTATTCACCTGTAATCCGAGCATCTGCGCAAAGAAGTTGGAGCCCAAATCGCCAATGACGACGTAGAACGCGATGCAAGTGCCCAGCATCAGCCCAATCATGCTGCAAACACAAACAGGGACAGGTCAGGAGAGCCACATTCCATCCTCAGCGTTGGGAAGAGGAGGACACCTCCCCTGCACTCTATCCCAATAAAACAGCCACCAGAGAACCTCCATCCACACCAAACACTCGGGGATGCAGCTCTGCCCACAACCCACACAGGGGTTTAACTCCTGTTGGGAGCCATGGGGAAAAAAACAAGAAAAACTAATCTTGGATGACAAGAACTCCTTGAACTCCTGGAAAAATTCAAAAGAATCAGCACGAGGCTCTCAGAGCCCCACACCCACTGCAGGACCCTGCCATGAGAGTCTCAATATCCAGTGGGCTCTCCGACATCTCTCCACACAATGGACCACACTTTAATGAAAAGATTGTCCATGAACTGCTTCTCCTCCCACTCCTGGACCACTTTCCTTCCCAATTCCAATTATAGAACATCCCTGTGGCAATTACAGCCTCTGCTTGCATGGACAAGTAACATCTGAGGAATATTCTGTGTATTTTTAGTGCTGAGCAGAAGTTTGCAGCTGGGAAGAGCGAAGGAGCCGGCACCGCTGCCGGCCCTGGGCTCAACGTGCCTGGAAAAGAATCCCTGCTGGAAAAAGCAGGGCTGTGAGGACTGTGCCATCACCTGACATCTGCACTGGGGTCATGGGAGGAAGCAGAGATGGAGGCAGGGTTCCCCCTGAAGGCATCTCTCAGGGAAGGGAGCACAGAGGGCAGGAGTGGAGCAGATCCTGGGATCCAAGGAAGCAAACGCTCCCTCCCACCAACCCCACAGCAGGGATGGCACCCCTGGAGAGCTGCCATGAGTGACACGAGTGTGATTTCACAGCAGAGCAGCTCATCCCTTCCTTCTGTGCTCCCAGAGCCTGGGAAGTGCTGGAAGGGATGGAGGTGACACCTGGGAGCTGTGCTCAGGGCGTCTCACCCAGCCTCCTGTGGAATTCCAGGAGGAGGGAGAGCACAGCAAGGCTCAGAAAGGTTCCCACCACAGACACCCAAACTGTTCACACTTTGAAGCAGCAGCAGATTTACCTTGTTTCCACCAACATTTTTCCTGCTTTTCCATAGGCATGAAATGCTGGCATAAAAGGGAAAAAAGAGTGGAAGTTAGTCAAAGAAAGGTCCAGAACAGGGCAAGATGTCAGTTCACAATTAGACACCAGCAGTGACACAGGGCAGTGCAGCAGGAACCCACCACTGGTATTTTGGGGCAGTTTCCCTCACCCTCCCACTTTCTTTTTCAGCCTTTCCCTTTGGAAACTGAAAACCACATAAGACAGGAGCAGGGATGAGGGAAAGCCAGCAAGCAGGTTCTTTTTTTTCTATTTAAAACCAGAAGTGGTGTGAAGCAGCAGCCACACATGGCAGCCATTAAAGGCAATGGGAGAGAAAATATCCCTGTACAAGATTGTGTGTGGCGAAAGTTAAAGTGGTGCAGAATTCCAGTCCAAGTCCCCTTTTTATTTTTATCTTCCCCCTCGAACTGGGCTGCCCGACATGGCTGGCTGGGAGAGCTGAGCTGGTGCCCAGAACGTTCAATCCCATTCCCAGAATACCCAGTGCTCCCAACCCACACCAAAGGGCTGCTGCCAAGGCTGTGCTTTCCCTCCCTCCCATCCTGGGGTTGGAGCACAAAATGCTCAGTAGTCCTCAAATCACTGGGTTTTCTCTTAAAAAGACAATGCCAAGAAAACTTTATTCTATTTTTAGCTCCTGCTGGGCAGAACGGGAATGGGGAGCTCTGGTGCCAAACCCAGACCACAGTGCCCAAATCTGCCAGTGAGGTCCAGCATGAACCCACCACCCTGGAGTCCCCTCTGCCTTCCCTCAAGACACAGCCCAACATTCCCAGAGCCCGCCAAAAAACAAACTCAGATCCTTTCTGGAAGCTTCTTCTGCTATTTTAAATATTAGCTTCAACTCTTGATTTCCTTGGACTCTACTCCAGCTAAAAATTCAGGAAACGAGATGTTCTCCCACAGAATGAGCAAAAGGCACGGCAGGGACCCACAGCCCAGAGCAAGGATGTGGGGGAGCACCCAAAATAGCAGCTGGATCAGTGACAGGGCAGTGGGACAGATGCCACCAGGCACCATGCCCGGGCACGGGGAGCGGCCTCCTCTGGGAATTCACAGCCAGGAGGGAAAAGGCAACAGCTCTGGGGGGGTCAGGCCCACAGACAAAGGGTCTGGGAGGAGAAAGAAGAGCCAGCAAGAGCAAAACATCCCTCCTGGAGATGGGTCAGTAACAGGCTGAGCTCAGAGCTGGGGGATGGAGGAGTGGTGCTGCTGAGCACATTCCAGCCTCTGGACATGGACACAGACTGGGGTGATGCTGCAACCAGCCCATCTCCCCGGCTGTTTGGAATTGATGCTCAATGAGAACAAGCCTCCAAACACTGTGGGGACAATGTAAAAATGAGATTCTTTATCTTCTCCAGGAGGTAACAACTGTAAAATAAATGGTACAGTCAAATCCTTGGAATGGGATCTTGGAATGCCCCCAGACTGGGCAGAGCTTGCTCAGTACCTGGAGAAGCCTTTCAAACCCAGTGTGGTTCCTGGGACAGAGCTTCAACCCCTGGCCCTGCAGGGCTGAGCTGCCCTGCACAGCCCCAGGACATCCCGAGTGCTGCTGGAAGGGGAGGGATTCACTCATCTCCTGCTTAAAACCCATCTGGGAGCTTCCTGCCCTTCCCTCCTCACCCACACATCTCCCTGCAGCCCTTCCCCTTCCCGCAGTGGTGAGGGGGCAGTGCCAGCCCCAGCCTGGGACAGCCTTTGTGCCCAAGCCATGGCTGCTGGGGTTCCTCCGGAAGGCTGTGCCCGCCTGCAGGGAATGTGCACAACTTCCCTCCGTGCCAAAGCCTCCCAGGAGTGCCCGCAGATGTCCCTGGGCCCAGCCTGAGGGGACAAAGGGCTCTGTGTGGAGCTGCCCGACCCCGGAGCATTGGGATGCGGCGCGGGAGCGTGTGGCACCTCTGCCAGGGCTCCGGGAGCGGGCACAGCGCTGCTGCCAGCCCCCCCTGCCAGGAGGAAGCTGGGAGGCATTGCTGGCCCTGTCTGTATGGCAGCCCCTTGGCTCCTGGGCGGGCAGAGGATCCCTTCTCCCCGGGACACACTCCAAGGTGCAGGGACTCTGTGTCCTCCGGGAAGCGGCGCACAAAGGCGTCTTGTGAGGGGCAGGGAGCAGCGGCAGCTGGGTGGGGGCTCCTCCTTCCCCCTGGCACCAAAACAACCTCCCAGCCACGGGGCTTCTCCCTCTTGTCTTTTCCTAGCAGATACAAGTCAGCAGGAGCTGGGATGTGCTTCCTGGGAGCAGCACCTCGGGCGCCCTGAGGGAGGAGCAGACCCATCTGTCAGCAGCTGCTGGGAGCCCCCGTGCCAGGGCAGTGCCAAACAGCTCCCTCCTCCCACAGAACAGCGAGGCAGAACAAGGAAAAGGAGACTTTTCCTGCTGCTCCATATGCCAACAGCAAGGAGTGGAACCCAAACACCTCCTCCTGCTCCCCAGGGCAGTCAGAATCCCAAGAGAGGCCACGAGCAGAGGCCAATCCTGGCGCCAGCGCTCAGCTCCGAGGTTTTGGCACAGCCAAAACCCACACAGGGATCTTCCAGATGTTTTTGTTTTCTCAGCCCTTTGGAAGCTCGCTCTGTTTCCTCTCTGCTGAGCCATAAAGGAGCTCCCAGCTCAGATGCAGGCAGCCCAGCTCCGTGCCAGGCTGGCAGGACCCGCTGTCCCGGCAGCGCTGGCTGGCTGGGTGGGGAGCTCATGCCCAGACCCATAATTAATTCATCCCAGCCCCACAATTCATCCCAGATGGCTCCCGGGAGCTGGGGTTTGGATCATCTCCTCCCTGCCCTGCAGAGTCAAAACAACTCAGCACCCATTAACAGGGCTGTGGGAGCAGGATCCAACCCCAGCACCGCCCCGGGGAGAGGCTGAGGCACAACAAGGAAGCTGGGAACTGCAGCAAGAAAAAAAACATTTGTTGTTCCAACAGCACTGCTGAGGAAATGCAGTCTGGGAGGCCAAGGAAGGTCGTGGTGCTGTCAGAGGAGCAGCAGGGCTGGGGAGCAGCCCCAGAGCTGGGGTCTCACCGAGGCCGGGGTAGGTCCTGCGCTTGCTGAGGTTGGCTGATTTCACCAGGAACATGCAGGACTGGTGGGTCATCCACGAGCAGAAGATCAGCAGCATGGCTCCCAGGAGGATCCCACACTGCAAAGAAGCAGGGCAGGAGATGGGGGTCAGCCCCCCACCACAGTCCAGCCACCCTCCCTCAGCACCCTCAACCTCCCCCGGGTGTTCCAGCCACGTTTTTCCCTCTTTCAGGAAGTTCTGTCCCCTTCCCACCACCTCCACATCATCCTCTCCACAGCACAAGGACACAGGGAACACACACCTGCTTCCCACAGCTCCCAGCTGCACCAGTCCAAGCTCCAAGCAGCAAACTGGGAGCAGAATTCCCACCCTGGCTCACCCCTCCAGGGAGCACAGACAGACCCCGAGGTGCCACCCCTGCTGCAAACTGATTTATCCACAACCAGCTGGCATCACACACTGCTCAGCCAGCCCCGGTCCCCGGGCAGGGCTGGCACCCACGGGCACCCAGCAGGGGCTTGGCACAGCCCCAGATGCCAGGGAGGGGCGGGGGGCATAGCGGGGCTGGGAAAAGCCTCCAAGTTACGTTTATCATGTGGGCAAACCCTTGGATTTCATTTCTCCCTTCTCCTCACAAGACAAGCACAAACCATCAGCTGGAGACCACAGGGCAGGGAAAACCCAGAGTGTGGAGCAGAAGTTTTGACTTGGAGACGTCACCACTGGTACAAACGCGGTGTTTGGAACACGAGATGCCCGCTCTGGGTCTGAAGCGTTTCCTTCACTGACTTTCCTCTCCAACGGAACGAAGCCCCAGTTCGGGCCAGAAGGTCAGAGGCGGCCGTTGCCCGCCCGGCCCGGCCCAGCCCTGGAGGAGCCCGCCGGGGCTTTCGGCTGTCGGGGCACGGCCCGACCCCCCGCCGCAGCCCGGGGACACCGGCAGGACCCCGGCCGGCCCCAACGCTCACCTGTCGGAAGCAGAAGGGCACGGTGAGCACGCTCACCCCCACGATGCTGTTCACCACGTTCATGATCAGGCCCCAGTTGGAACCCGCCGCCGCCGCCATGGCCCGCGGCGGAGGATCCCCGCGCCGGGGCACCCGGTATGTGGCTGCTCCCCGAGCCCCGCGGCCGGCTCGGAGCGCCCGGTGCCCCCGGTCCCCCTCAGCCGGCCGTGCCCGCCATGGCCCCACCGGGCACGCCCCGACCCGGCACCGGCCACAGCGGCACTTCCGGCTTCCGCCGCCGCCGCAGGAAGTGACGTATGCGCGGGGCCGCTCTGCCGCCCCGGAGGTCTGGACTCGCTGGTGGTGGAGGACCAAGGGGGGTCCCCGTGGTTGGGGGCTCACCCGGAGAGCCGAGCACGGCCAGGGAGTGCGGGAATGCACCAGGACACACATCCGTGCGGATCCGCGCGTGGAAAGGCAAGGAGAGGGGCGTGCAGCCGCCTTTACACGCGTGTGTGCGCATACACACATGACCACACAGCTCGCAGCAGCGCTGGCACCCGAGCGGGGGTCCCCGGCCTGATGGCGGCCTCTGAAAGGGCCCTCGAGGGTAGAACATCACCCCCGGCATCCCCTCCCCCCGCACATCTGGGCACGCATCCAGCTGTGCACACACATCTGCTCCCCATCCCACCCGCAGCCATCCCCAGCTCTGCACCCCCACATCCCACGGGAGAGGGGAAAAAGAAGGAAAGATTGGGGATGGGATTCTTTATCTTCTCGGGGGGATCTGGAAGGGTCCCCCGAGGCCAGGCTGGCGGCAGCTCTGAGTGCCACTCGCCAAGGGCACGTTCCCATCAGAACGGAACGAAGCGTGGCGCTCGTATAATTTGCAGCAATTGCGATGGGAAACCGCAGGAATTCGCTCTCCAGAAGGTTTGCAGGGAGGTGAACAGGCGGCCTAATTCCCTCCAGGTGTGCTGCAGCATCGGTAGCTCTGGCTGTGATTTCCTGGCTCCTGTGCCAGAGCGGTGGCTGCGTCCGTGCGTGTCCTCAGGGTGGGATGAGGGATCCTCTCAGGAATGTCACCCATGGCCAGGAAAGGGCTCTGGTGGCTTCTCCATGTCCGGGTGGGAGCCGGGGGCTCGGGAAATGTGCAGAGCCAGCCAGGAGTCGCAGTGACACACAATGGGGACACCAGGGGAGCTGCCCCCTGCTCTGCCACCCTCCTGTGCCACAGCCCCGGGGCTCGTCTGTGCTCATCCCCAGGGAATGGGGTTTGCTGCAGCTCCTCAGGCACCATGAGCTGCTCTGCAGCCCCAAACAGCCCAAATTCTGCCTCCAGCAGGAGCTGGGTCCATCCCAGCAGTGCCAGGTTCCCATCACACACCTGCCGAGAGCAAGGAGAATCCTCTGGAAAGCTCCAACCACCAGGGACCCCGACCCTGCCCTGCCGGCAGGGGACACTGGGAGCCGGGAAATGGCCCTGAGGGGTTTGAGAGCCAGCAGCAGCATTCCCACCGGGAATCCCAGGTGGCTCAGAGCCCTTCCCAGCCCTGCCCCATGGCCCAGATTCCTCCCACGGAGAACAGCCAGCCCCGGAGGATGGCACAGCCAAGTGACTGTAATTAGAAATGGGGGCTCAGGGCTGGCTGAGCCCGCAGGGACCCTGCCCTGCTTTGTGGAAGCACAAATCCCTCGGGATGCCCAGGGGCCGCTCTGCAGGGATGTGCCCACGTGTGCTGGCACACACAGAGCTGAGCTGAGCCAATTCCCAGCTCCCACGGGTGATGCTGTCCCAGGAAAACAGCTGGGGCCATCTCTGCTCCCACCCATCCCACTCTTGCTCCGGGATTTGCCTCAGTGGCAGCTGCGTCCAGGGGGCTCCTATGAGCCTCCCACGGCACTGGGATGCTCTTCCCTGGAACCATCCCTGCCCCCCCCCCCCCGCCCTGGGGGACACAGCAGGGCCCACAGGGAATGGGGAGGAATGGGAACCCCCTGTCCAGGCCTGGGGCAAGCCCACCCACACCCCAGCCCATGTCCCCCCTTCACCCCACCCAGCATCCAGGACCACCTTGCTCCTGGTTCCAGTGACAGATGCCTGGCAGATCCCCGGAAACAGCCGGCAGGGATTGAAAAACATAAATTAAAACAAATTGCAGTTTTATATTGCAAATAAGGGCAGTTTGATGGGTTTTATTGCAGAACAACCATTAATGAAGTGCAGTTTCAGGCACCTTAATTGCTCAGGGACCAAAGTTCAGTCCGTATCTGCAGCACGAGCTGGGAGCCGCCACATGTCCCGCGAGTGCCGGGCAGGTTGGGAACGGGATCGGGAATGCATTTATGGGCACGATGAGGAGGATGGAGGCAAGGTGTTGAACCCATCTAGGGGGGTTAAAGCAGCGTGGGACAAACAGCACAGCCCGGGCTGGAGGGAGGCGAAAGCCCGTGGTGTCCCCGCCATGGTGTCACCCCAGTGTCACCGCAGTGCCAGCCGTGGGGCCCCGCAGTGGGTACTCACCATGGGATGCATTTTGGGATGGGGGTGTCCAAGCACTTGGGATGCTGGGGCTGCCCCAGGGGCTGGGGAGGAGCGATGCAGAGCCACGGCCGTGGGGGGCCCCGGGAAGCCCCCCAGAACAAAGCACGCATGGGTGTGCAGGTTGACACAGCACCGGGGGTCCAACCAGGGGATCCACACACACCCAGGACACGATCGCGAGCCCCGCACACCCAGGACACCATCGCGCAGCCCCGGCACCGTCACACCGCGCGTGAACCCTCTCCCCACCTGCACATACCCACGCCCAGCACAGGCACCGAGCTGTACCGAGCCGTTCCGAGCCGCGCGGTGCCTTACCGGACCTTACCGAGCCGTACGGTCCGGTGCCGTGCCCCCGCGCGCGCCCGTTCATTCACCCGCCCGCGCCGTGGGAACGAGCCGCGCGCGCCGCGGGCGGGAAGCGCAGCCCCGTGGTGGCCCCGCCCCTCCCCGCGCGCATGAATGAGCGAGCCCCGCCCAACTCCATATTAGGCCATCCGGCGCTGCTCTGTGGGTGGGGCCTAACCGGGCCGCTCCGCCCTTTCACTCCGCCAATCAGAGAGGTGCGCCGGGCCCCCCGCCGGGCTCCGGCCTTTGTTTGTGGAGGGCTCCGGGGCCAATGGGAGCGCGGGACGGGGGGCGTTGGGCCAATGGGAGAGAGGAACGGGGGGCGCTGGACCAATGGGAGAGCGGGACGGGGACGGCTGGGCCAATGGGCGCGCGGGGGGGGCGTGGGGCGGAGCGCGGGGCACGGCCCGGCCCGGCCACGTGCGCGCGGAGCCGCCTCCGCGGGGACCGGGGACAGCGAGGGGACCGGGGGGACCCCGGCGCCACCGGGCTGTGTCCCCAGCGGCTGCCCCGTCCCCAGCAGTGCCAAGGACACGTGCCTGTCCATGGCTGTCTGTGCCAGATCCCGGTGCCACCAGCGGCTCGGCACCTTCTGCTCCGGTATACCCCGGGGATCACGGGGGAGCGGCCCCAGCCCCGGCTGCAAACCTCGGGCGCTGTCCGGGTGTGTTGTGGGTCGGGGCAGGCCCTGGCAGCCGGAGGTGGCAGCAGGGTTAGTTTGGGTTGGGTGCCTTTGGCCCCGCTCGCCCGTTATTGCCGGGACTGGGGCAGGGGCACCGTCCTGGGGGCTCTGGGCAGCAAATCCCAACTGCAGCGGCCATGCAGACGGAGCTGCACCACACAGGGCTGGGACGGAGCCACGTGTGGATCTGTGTACCGGGACAGGGCTGTGCCCAACACGTAGGGGACTGCACCGGGCAGGAGCCTCCCACGGGGTCCCGAAAAGGAAAATTCCCATCGGGAAATCCCATCCTGTGCCTGGGATCTGCTGAGAAATATCCTGGTTCCCAACCGGCTCCAGTGGCAGCCCCATGCCCGTGCCATGGGCACACTGATGGCAAAGCCGGGGCACTGCCAGCGCAGCGGCAGGAGGAGCAGCTCTGTGCTGGAGGGGTGAAGGTCACGGTCGTTTTCTCCGTCACAGGCAGCTCCCAGCTCCATGTTTGTCTGTCCCAGTCCCTCCAGTGCTCCAGGACACCGCCACAGCCCAGCTCAGTGTCACACCGCTCGTGGCACCGACATTCCCGGGCGGGAGCCGCGGTGGCGGCTGCTGCTGCTGCCCATCCCGGGGGTGCTGCTGCCCAGCCCGGGGGTGCCGACTCCGCTCCGTTCGCTCCTCATCGCCCTCCCCGCGTCTCCCACCCCCAGCGCACAGCTCCGGCTCCATCCCATCCAGCCAGGCCTGCCTGCGGCGCTGCCAAACCACGGCGGCGGCAGCGCACCGAGCACCGGCCCGGGGCACGGCCCCTGCGTCTCCCGATGGCCGGGACAGCGGGCAGCCCGGCCCGGCCCCGCCGCGCTCTCCGGCAGCCGGGGAAGCACCGGTGCATCTCCCGAGGCCCGGGAGAGAACAAAGGAGGGCAGTGCAGCGGAGGGAGCGGCGCTGCCGGATGCGCTGCAGCGCGGATAATCCGCCCCGGCACAGCCCCCGGAGCACGGGCAGCCCCGGTGATCGGCCCGAGGCGGGAGGGCTGTGCGGGCTGGGGAGGGGGCTCAGCCCGGCTCCCCCGGCCGCCCCATCCCGGATCCTCCGGGGCGCCGTGCCCCCCGTTCCGTCCCCGCGGCCGCGCTCACCCCGGCTAATGCCGCGCCATAAAGGAACCGACTTACATTAACGACTTTTGTCACCAAAGTCATTAACATAATAGGGCTTCCACATCAAAATTGAATATTAATGCTCCGCCGGCTGCGGAGGGAGGCGGATAATTGCTCTAATACATTTTCCAGTCGGATTTTCGCATCGCGGCAGCAATTGCATTAGCAAACCCGATTATTCCCACGGCCGGTACAATGGGACGGTTAATGGGAGTTAAGTTCCTGCCTTTTTCCTCGGACCCCCGAGCGGCTGCGGCTCCGTGCCCCCCACTGTCCGCAGCCG